TTAAAGTTCATAATTCAAGTTCATTTAATATATAATTTAAGATCCTTTGCATCTGATAATCAATTTTTTTAATCATTCTGCAAGTTTATTAAAACTACGAATATGTTCTTATATATTTTATGAAGAACCACTAATGTCTTAATTTCTTGATTTCTAAAAATAAATAATGTTTTATAAAAATTAAGATTTTCCAGTATTTGTTTACTTATATTAAGTTGATTTTTTTATTAATATTTTATAATTCTAAGAAATAAACTTTCGATTTTAATTTTAATACAATTTGTAAAGTATTAATTTCATTATAATAAGAAACGTGACAACCTATGTTGAATTAACTATGTTACACATTTGAAGTAAAATGTATAATTAATTAATAAAATACAAAATGGTTCACTGAAATTAAATAAATAATAGAATCTCATAATTTATAGCATAAAAAAAGGAATCATGTATAACCATAAATAATCAAACAGACATCATAGAACTACTTCTGACTCAAATAATAACCTATAAGCTTATATAAAACGAGTGAATTTTGCAACACGAAAATTATATTTATTACTTAAGTTAAATTTATTTGTTGGTTTTGTTAATTATTTACAGCTCTAATATAATTTAATTAACAGCTATAAACTCCTTCACTTCATTCAGCGATTTGCTACGCTCCTTCGATTACTAGTACTCCTCAGAGGTGATTAGTGTGATTAGCAATTAACAGATAAAATAGCATTGCTAGATACTTAAGCAGAAGTACAGCCAAGGGGTGAGATCACGGTTAATAATCTCCCCCCTGAAGTGTATCTTTTTAAAATATACAATTATTTTAAGGCCTAGGTATAATTTGACATTAGTATACATCCATGGTGATATTATTTTCAAGACTGATGACATGTTAAAAAAACTTGTTAAGCAATCAAGAAGATTAAATATTAATTTTTAAGTATAAATTACTTTTATTCATATGTATGTAAATAAATATAAATATATTTATTTTAAAACTCTGCTAATTTAGTTTCAATAAACTAATTAACAACACATTTTATATTTTAAATTATATTTAATTGACTTATTAAAATTAAAAAATTGGTACTTACGTAGGAGAGAACTGAAAATTTAAAACTCCTTAAAATATTTTTTTGGCTACGCCACTAGACTTAAGTATAGTTGTTGACAAATAATACATTGTGGAACAGTCTAATTCGTAACCCAGAAGTCAGGTTAAAAATATTTAATTATCTTATCTACAGCTAACACGATACAATTCAAATACTAACAAAATTAATACCCAAAAAAAAAAAAAAAAAATATAAAATATTGCATTACGATCGCGTTGCACACATCACTATAAGTTATTGTAAATTAAGGAAATTGAATTATTAACAAAACAAATTTTAGACGGCATTTTCTATGAAAAAATTTAAATTTCATATTATTTGTTCGAGTTCATATGTAAATTATTATACACATAATACGTACGTAAATTATAACTTAAATTATAATAATATTTCATTCGGTTTAAGTACATTATTTGCATAATATTCGTATGTATAATTTATAACATAATTCACCATAATGGCAAAAACGAATAAGTTTATAACTTATACGTCTATTTATTATATTTAAAAAAAATGTATCTTACTACAAAATTTATCTTTAAACATGAAAATAATAAGTCGTACATAATGTATTCAATATAATTTTTATAGGTGGAACGATAACAAATTAGATTGTTACTTGTTTATGTTTATAATGTATTCATATTATACTGTCTTTGTTTCACGACGATATTTTTCTTCTTTCTTATTTAACTCACCTCATTTAAATAACAGTAACAATAATGTTTTAAAATATATTTCATCAGGTGAAAAATTGAAATCGAAAAGATCATTAATGTTAATAAATGAGGAAAAAAATAATCTCTGCGTTTTTCCTAATAAAATTTTCATTTATTTACGGAACGAAATCTTTTGGGATCACTTCGATATTTCTTTTAGAGTAATTCTTCGGTCTAGTAAATTTTCAATATCTACATAGGTTCTATTGATGGAAAAAATAAATGTTATTAGAAAATCAATAAATACAATATGCATGCTGCAACCGATGAATAATAAAATATTAGAAGATATGGCTCTCCATCAGTCCGTCGATTTTTAATTGCACAATGGTTCAGATTAATGACGTAGACATAGATCAGTGGTTTTCAACCTTTTCGGATCGTGACCTCTCATTTTTTATTTTTTTGTAATGCTTCTAAAGAAAATTTTGTTTTATTCATCAAAATTGGATTTAATTATCGATAAAATATTTACACGGTATACAATTTTGTTTTAATGTACACTAAAAAAATTAACAAAATACATAATTAACTTTATTTTATTTTGAAACATTATGAAAAAATAATTTCGTCCATTATTTTTGATGACCCCAAAACCTATCATTATCGATCCCCATGTTGAAAATCACTGACATAGACGAATAATATGAAATACTATTTTGAAAACAAAACGAACATAACAATAAAAGCGTCCATGTACGTTTTCGTGGCACTATCGATAGAGAACAACTGATGAATAATAATAATTATTATATAAATACAGGTTGGACATACTATGTATAGCCGGTATCACGGACACAACACATACCATGGTTAGCCAAATTGGTATTAAATTAATGTTAAGACGTGCTACGCGCGTGTGGAATACAAATGATTGTCCTCGATGATTTGGAATTGTTCTTTTCGTTATCGTGGATAAATTTCATGAAATATTTTAGTCCGCGCGTTGCTATCGCCGTGCTCCTTCCGTGATATCGCTTCATTTATACCGATGACTCTCAAGAGGAACCGTTGAAAGCCCAAAGAAGTCGAGAATAGTGTCAGGTGTGTCGTGTTACATCAGAAATCATAACAGTACACATAATATGAAGGATAGGCAATTTCAAATTTCTGAAGGGTCGGTTTTTAAACCCTTGAAATCTAGTGGCCAAAAAGCAACAGCTAAAACCACGATCGGGTTACACAACAAATACGATTACATTGCCATATACAATACAATGAGTTTAACAAGACGTTTAATAATTTAAGTATGAAAGAGTTCGATAGCAGATAATAATTAATATTATAAACGATGTTTAATATATATACTATGATATTAATATAATATTATAGAATTAATAATTATAAATAAACGTGCAGTATTATTTTTACGTTTTCACGTTTTTTCAACATTTGATCGAGTAACTTTTATTTTTAAGCTTTACATTTTAAAAGGTAACGCGGACTAGATAAAAATTGAAAGTAGACCACTAGTTGTCCATCCCTGCCGTATATTGTATGCTGTCAAATGTGCACACTTCCTGTGGCAAGTATGGGATCATGCAAGGAACCCGATCTGTCAACAAAGATCATTCGTATACGGTATTTTTCGTAATAATAATAATAATAATAATAATATTTTTTTAGCATTATTGATGTTTACTAAAATGGAATTACATATATGTATTTTAATCACACTACTTCATTGTTATTTAATTGTTAATTATTGTTAATTGAATTCAATTCTGTATATTTGCTTGAAATGTTTGAAATGGAAATTGAAACGTATTAGAGAATTGCAATGAACACAATATTATAAAAAGTATAGTGAAAATAGCAAACGATAAGTGATTGTATTAAGATAAAAGTTATGAAGGATGTTCTAGTTAGGCCATTTTATTGACAAAACATGTTATTAACATTAATTAAAGGACGGTTCAACTCTGACGACCAAAGACGTTCAAATTAATTCGACAAAAATTGCCGAAAAGTAAAGGTGAAACTCAAAATACTCTTTGAGTGCTCTTTGTTCTACGCGTGTTAAAAATATTAATTACGATAACGTCGTTTGTCAAGATTGAGAACGATGGGGTCGTGTTAAACGATCCAAAAATTGTGGTTGACGTTCGAAAAAAAATCCTAATTACTCTCACGGTTCGTGTTAACGATCGTGGAACACGGCGCTGGCGAAGAACTATTTAGAAATCATTCGTGGAACCCGAGTCGAACGATGATCGGAAGAGGGATTCGATCGAGAGGCTGCATCCGAATTGGGTCCCAAATTTAAAATTACTACATTATTTGGGTCCCGAATTATTTTAGGTACTACACTATTTGGGTTCCGGATTTTTATAGGTACTACACTAGTTGGATCCTGAATTATTTTAGGTTTACACTAGTTCCTGAATATTTTTTGGTAAGTATTACATTATACTAACATTTTCCTTCCCATTTTAACAGATTTAGGACTGTCTATGATCTATTTAGACCACAGGACCACATTTTTTAAAAATCCTTTAATTTACATAATAATATAAAGTATTATAAAGTAATAAAAGTATTAAAAATAAAATATTAATAATATTAAGTAATAAAAATATTATACAATAATATTAATATAATTTTAATATTTTTATTATTTTTACCAACACAATTCTGATAATTTATATTTTAATGGAAAATAAACTATAAAAAACATTTTTAACCGTACCTATGGTATAAATAGATCATAGACAGCCCTAAGTCTGTTATAATTGGAAGGAAAATGTTAGTATAATGCAGTACTTACAAAAAAAAAACATTCAGGACCCAACTAGTGTAGTACCTATAAAAATCCAGGACCCAACTCGTCCACTACCTGCGATTATCCCCTAATACTCGGAACCCAACTCTGACGTTCCGGATCGAGACGGTTGCCGTTGGTTGTGCGTCACGAGAGCGTTTACCGGGAACAGCATCGACGCGTAAACAACATCGTAACGCGGAATAAATCGTTATAAAAGAACCGATCGACGCGGAATCGCGTCGATCGCGGACGAACGACGTCCGACAGGATCGATAACGTCGATTATCGGGATCGATAATGATCTGAACGCCAACGGTAGTAAAAACGGCGTACACGGCGCACAGCGCGGCGCATCGCGTGTACGTGTGCGCGCGCCCGGCGCACGTGCGTGCCCGGTGCAGCGCGGCAGTGTGTTTCGTGTGTCGGGCGCGGTGTACGGATCTACGTACGCGGCGAATCGCGGAGCGGCGTGCGAGCTGAGATTCCACTACGGTTCCGGCCGTTCGGCCGCGCGCCCACGTCATCCGCTGTTCGACGCGGTTCACACAACGAACAGCTCCGTACGCGGACGGCAGACGCGTCGCTGATCCGCAGCAGCAGCAGATCCATGCGGGGGGCCTAGCGAGCGATACGCCGTCTGCAGCGCACCGTCGCAAGAAGCACGCGGTCGTGTTGCGGGTCGCTTACGCCAGTTCGCGGACTCGCAAATGGTATGCGGTACAGCGCTTCCGGACCGGAACGACGAGCAGCCCGATGAATCGTCGTACATGCTCCGCGACAAAAGTGCGTACACGAACACACATTCTTAGCGCGATAAACGAACAATCTAATACCGCGACTGGTACGCGTGCGTCGGTACGGCAACACTTACACCGGCCGGTGCCACGAAGCCAACGAACGAAAACGTAATGTCGACGTTGTACGGTCTGTATTCCGCCGTTTGAACTCTGAATCAGGAAAACGGTTTTTTAACAATATCACAAGCGTGAATCGAATACATCCCGTGTTGCGTGCGCGCGTGCGCGCGTGCGACTGCTGTGCAACGTGCGCAATACCTTCTATCGTTCCCGAGACGAGCACGCGCGCGCGGATTGTAATAATCAGTTTCGTAACTTTTTAACGTTTCAACTTCTTTGTTTCGTGCAATCTTTCTTCTTCGGATTCCTCGGCGGTTGGACTCGTTCTTACGGCACGTTCTACTGTATTTCGGCGGTTTGAATAGAACGAAAACGAATATCAAAAATACCCAACATACAAGTCAAATGAATAAGTGATACAATTACTTATAACAATACATGGCACATAACAATACATGGCTATAAGGAATTAATAGCAAATATTAAAATTAATCGTGGCATTAATTAACAAACAAAAAATAACTTATTTAATTAATTGTGATATTATGATGAGCTATCAAAGACATAAATATTTCTAAGCTACAGAATTTCCTCTAAACCATAACTCGTTTAAAAATAATCGATATACAAATGTATATTCGATACTGAATTCTTTCATATGTTGTTCTGTAGCGTAAACATAAAAATAACGTTCTTACAAAAAGTCATCGGCCACAGTCATGTCTTGTCTGTATATTATTGTATATTATTTTTGTTATTTTATTAAAGAATGTATAACTATAAGTTGAGATACTCCGTCCCCCTGCGTCCCCCTCAAGACAAATACTGCAAATAATGTCTTGAGTGGGACGCAGGGGGACGGAGTATCCCAACTAATTTTCAGAAATTTTAGCGCCCCCCTACTATTATTACGCTACAATTATAACGTTTAACAAGTTTAGAGGACGCTATTTTTTTTTTAAGTAAATAGAGTTCCCTCTCATTAATTTTGACAAGTTGAGCACTGATTATTTGAGTATAAAATATATTTTCACTATTTAGTCTTAAATTACATTTTTGATTATTACTAATATTTCTATAACAGTTAAAATTAGTACGAAAAAAAAACAAATATTTGAATGTCAAGATGGTTGGTAGTATTAAAAAAATTTCAACGATAAAAAATAGTACTGTAAATAATTAACAATTAATTTAAGCATTAGTATGTAAAAAATTAAAACCAACATAAATTCGTATTGTAATAATATTTATAAGTATTATTACTCATAGTATTATCAGAGAATTACGTATTTCGAAATGCTAATATTTTATTTAATCGATCAAAATAATAAAATGTCTTATATAATGTTAGAGATAAACTTTTTGATTATAAGGTGACTAATCTGAGTTGGTTAGTTATACAGCTTATATATTTCTTAGTTAATAGTATCAATCAATGTTTCTTACTTCTTTGTCTAAAAATTATAAAGATTGCTGACTTTCATAATAATAAAAATTTATCCACGGAAAAAAAATTAATTACATGTATTTTACTATAGTATAACCGATATATAATGAGTTGCAGTACTTACAAATTACAAGTAAGATATTTTACTACAGTCGGTACCATCACTAACGACGCCGGTCGTAACGACCCTATGGGGTATAAACGATGTTAATTTCAAAGACACGGCAAAATTCCGTTTATTTATATATACAAAACAACTGGTTTTAACGACACCGGACGTAACAACAATATCGACTAATACGACTTAAAAATCGGGCTGCAACACACATTTTAATCGTATATAACGACTGTATATTATTATTTTCACAAATGATACTCTGTAGACGAAGCATATTAATCAGTAGAAAATATTGTTAATTTTTCATTAGTAAATAATATTGACTTGAATCAAAATTATAATTCATTAAAACTCATACAAAATATGCTATTAAATAATAAATTAAAAGAGTTAAAAATCACTGACTTAATAGTTGTGTAATTTTTAATTTTTTTATTAATTACATTAATTGTATTCGAAAAAGTTATATATGTGAATAATATTTTAAATTCTAAGTTATAATAAAATAATATGTATGCATATTGGTTGTTATGAAATATGTATGTATTTGTAAAATTAAATTTAAATTATAACAATATTCATATTATTATAATTGTGTAGTTTAAAAATTTTTTGTACGAGTAAAATACAAGTGTATAATGTATTAATAAGCAGGGACAGTCTGGGAGAAAAATTCAGGCCTGGAAAATTTATTACCCAGGCCACATATTAATGTTTAGCTAATAGGCCGTTACTATAGTAAGGAGGGGGAGGTAGAAGAGGGCTAAACTTATGTTCTACCTTCCCCTAACAACACTACAAATTTATTTAATCATTATTTATTTATCTAATCTTTTAGTTTTTAGTATATGTATGAGGACATAAATAAAACATAAACCTTCAATAAGTATCAATATTTTTGTGAGACTATTGTCTGTTCATGTTAATTCAATTTCGAAGACCTAGTTACGCCTATCTCTGTGACTATGTATTCTCTTTAAACAATTGAAAAAAAAAGTTAAATTAGCCATAGATTTTTATAAATAAGCAATACCTACTACATGATTGAATTTTTTATAATAAATTATATTTTATAAACAAACCAAATAGAATATACATACATCAATTAAGCTTATATAATTAATTTTATATTTTATATATAAATAATAAGTTAAGACATTTTAAAGACATGTTGAAAGAAGCTTACTTTTTTGTAACAATAAATCAATTATTTGATCATTATCAATATTTATCGAAATTTCTTTTTCAGCTGACATTAACATAAACGTTTCAGTATTTTCATTATTAAGTTTAATTCTTAACCTATTTTTTATTATATATTTTAAAGTAGAAAAAGATCGTTCACAGGCAACTTGGGTAACAGGAAGACACAATAAATACTTATAAGCAACTGTTAAGAGTTGATAGTGTTACTATATAAATTGTATTTTATCAATACATTTAACAACATAGTGTACAATTTTTACAATTATTACACATAACTTGACTTAATTTCTCAGCAACCCCGGCTCCTCATTTGTGTCGACGAAATATACACAATAATAATAATGCTTTTCTGTATCCCAAAATACCCATATTAACCTTTCAGCGGGTGTGCCATTGTAAATAATACAAACATTTTATTTATATTTGTTTATTCAACTTATATTATATTTTTATTTTATCAGCGATCACGGGTATTCCTCTGAAATGTTATTAACTATGTTTTAGACAACTTTTGAGGTGCATAAACTTCTTTAAAAAACTAACTAATTATTTAAAAGAAAAAGTAATACTGCCGTCAGGCCAATGAAAAATCCCAATAAATAGGTCAGGCTATCGGGAACGGGACGTCCCTATTAATAAGAACATAAATCAAATTTGGTTAAAACGACATCTGGCTATAACGTCATATATTTTAAAGTCTCTTGACCGTCGTTATAGGTGATACGGACTGTATTTAAGAAAATAAAAGTTTAATTATTTGCATTTATTTCCATTTATTTTGTTTTGTTTAAAATCTACAATCTACAACTTGAAGAATTATGGGTATCTATTTATTATAAACGCATTTAAGCTAAATAAACTGTAAATTTAGGATCAAAAATCGATTAATCAAATTAAAATATTTAGATAAAGAGAGAAAATAAAATAGATTATCTTGGCGCACTTAATTGATTGTTCACATAATTTAATGTGTACACATGTATAATATTTATGTATGGTTATGGTATATTCAGTGCCGTCCCGATGGCAGGCCAAACGAGGCACTCGCTCAGAGCCTCGTGCCTCCAAGGGCCTCGCGTATATACAATAATATATATATATACAACATACCATGTATAAATATAGATATATGGATTGAGGACCGCTATTCTAGTGTATCTATGGATTTAGATATAATATTGTAGAGTCTCGGAACGGCACTGGGTATATTAATATTATAGTACATAACTAACTATTGATTTGCGTGTGTGTCGCAGAACCTTCGAGTCATGGACATCGTATAGTCGCTCCGGACGGCGACTGGGGCTGGTACGTAGTAAGCGGATGCGCGTTCGCCAATTTTCTGTTGCCCGGCATGCTGATATCTTTCGGATCAGACGTCCTGGACCAGTTCACAGAGATCCACGGGTTCAACTGCCAGTTCGCTAACCGTTGGATACTAACCACGTTCGATCTGATGTTTTACGTAGCGGGTATGTGGAAACGAATCGTAACCGACAAAACTGCGATACGTCATATACAGTATAAAAATATATGTAGCACGTTCGGGAGAATGTGTTGTAAGGGATCACGATCGAAAAAGATCATCCTGACTATGTGCGATTGAGGATAAAACGTAGGTCGTAAAACTTAAGTTTGATCTCCCTCACGACGATGCTGCTACGGTCAAGGGGGAGCGTAGATGACTAAAATAAATTGTTACAATTCATAATTTACCAACGGATCCGTGGAGCGGTTTTATCCTTATTATTTTGTCCCAGCTTGTCGTAAAAAACTTCTCATGCGATCCTCTACGTCATAAAATACATCTGGAGCCTGGCGTACATCGCATATTTATATACGTAGGAATTGATGAATCACCACACGTGTTACCTAACCTTGCAGACATGCTTGCTGAAAATCGTTTTAAAATATTAAAATTATACCGCAATGGTCTTACGTATGCAATTAAAGGTTATTGATTATAGATTTCTGCGGCTTGAACCCGCAGATCACGTGTCTTATACATTTTCTTCAGCCGTTGATTTATAGATAACATTCGAATTGACACTGCCTGGTGCGATTATAACGTCGTTATGTTTGACGTGTAACCAATTTATACTTAATAATATTTATGATTTGTGGCTACCGGAAAATCTAAGCCCACAAACGGAAACGTCAACCCAACGTTTTGACCGTCATGACTATTTGTCTATTTATACATATGTACCTTATAAATTGGCGTAGACCCGGAATAAAACTATTAAATATGTTGTGTAACTGACATCAGCTTAATCTCGCTGACTGAGAAGTAGGCGATCGTGATTTTCGAGTGAATACTTTATCTACGCATAAAAACTTTTTAGTTTACCGTAAAAATAGTTTATAATTTTCCGCTAGCTAAGTACTAATAAGTAATCTCCATTGTATATATTCTCCATAACACTATATTAAAACCCGGGATTCTATTCACCAATTCTTATAATGAAACTTCTATATTACAATAAAACAAATAAAATCGAAAAATATTTGTGTACATGATAATTGGTTTTTCGTAATTTTTCTGTAATTTTATATTAGTGGTTTTATAAGTCTTTGAGAATTTTTTTTAATGACTTTTTAGTAGTCTCAAATTTATATTTCCATCAAGTTTTATTTTCCCATACATTTTTTAGAGTAATGTTAAAGACAAAACCCATAAACAGCTTTTAAACGAGCGTCTGCGGCCTTGATTTTACGATACTACGTTGTTAATCCATTAGTGTGCTTTAATCGAAGAAGAGTACTGTTTTTTTTACGTCACGTATTTTTAAAAATACGCTACGAAACGTTTTATATTTATAGGATTATTTTAAGCTCGTGGAATATAATCCAATGATTATATTTCACGTGATATTTCCAGGTTCACTATCCTGCATACTACGTGAACTACTCTCGTTTAGATCCGTTACGATATTGGGTGGACTTCTAGCGTTCGTCGGTATGATCACGAGTTCGTTAGCCAACTCTGTATTGCATTTATTTGTAAGGTACGCCACTAGGTCTTATTTCTATAATTTATGCACCAAATCGTTCATATCGAATGGAAAAAATGATAACAAAAATGTTATCATTTTTATGCTTTCAGCTACGGGATTATGGTAGGATTTGGCGCAGGTGCATGTTATCCAGCCGGTATACTGTTAGTAAATGAGTACTTCGACAGATACAGAGGACTCGCCAACGGTCTGTCATTGGTCGGCACCACGATCGGTTCCTTCGCACTACCGATCTACCTCAAGTTCCTGACCGTATCGTACGGCTACAGGTACGCGCTCCATACTATTGTACGCAGGCCCGTATTTAAAGGAGGGCTTGGAGGGGCAATTGTCTCTGGCGGCAATATTAAAATTAGGTTTAGGGACGGCAAAGTATTGAAATGATTAAAAATTTAAAATTTATTTATGACTCATTTTAATGAGTAAAATTCAAAAATATAGGATAAAATATAATAATATATAATTAATGTAATAAAAAATAACTATAATAATATAATTACATCAAAATAGTTTTTGAATTTACCTAAGAAATTTTTAACAAAGTTTTTATTCGTTATCAACTCGAATGTCAAAAAAATTCTTTGGGAATATTTATGTTGTAAACATATGATTTGTATTTAGTTCTACGGATCGTTAACTATGAAAGATACATACTAAAAATTGGAAAATATACAGTGATGGTATTGCAATGATATAAGGAGCAAAATGAATAAATTAGAAACAGCATACATGACTGTATTTTGAAGTGATATTTTACATAAATTTAACAAAATTAGTCTTATATTACAATCTGTTGATATTGATAGAAGCCCAGTTAGTTAGTTATTACAATTCGTTAATTGAATATGTTCAAATTTTACGATCAATGTGTAATGATTATGAAAAGTTATTAGCAAAAGCTATGTCAATGATGACATAGTTCCTAATTATGAACACAAAAATAGAAAACGTAAGAAACGTAATGATGAATCGATTGAACCAGATGCAACTTTCAATGGAAGCCAACATTTCAAAATTAATACCATTTACATTATTTGTGATAATTTAATAGAAGAACTAAAAAAAGAAAATTTTCTTATAATGTTATGATATTTAAATAATTATTTTTCTTAAATATTTGTGAACAAAAAACCTCAGAAGATTGTGATGGTGCAAAAAAATTAAGAAAAATATACATGAATGATTTGGATGAAACATTTGAAAACGAGTGTGTACATTTTCAGAGCTTGCTTAAAACCATAAAAAATTCTCCAAAAAATATTATTAATATGTGTAAATTTATTAAGAAAAAAACGTACAAGTTATTTTTCCATATATTTATGTTGCTCTTCGAATGTTTCTATGTACTCTTGCTTCTAACTGTTCAACGGAAAGATCATTTACTACTCTACAAAACATTAAAATATGTTTAAAATCGACCATGTCATCGGAAAGATTGAACTATTTAGCCAGATTAAACATAATAGAGTCATCTATAACCAAAACGATTGATTACGATGATAATATTAAATCATTTGCATCAAAACAGTCTTTTAAAAAAGTTTAAGAAAAGTTATGAAGTTATAAATTAATTGAACATTTTTATTTTTCAAGTTGTTTTGTCATTTTAAAAATTGTTTTAAATAATGTATTGGTTATTACTGAGTTTTATTTTATATTAATGTAACTACAATTGTGTAATATCAATTAAGTAAAATATTTATTTTTTTCTTGGGGGGAGGGGAGGCAGAAAATTTTATGTTACCCCTGGCGGCAATTTTTGTTAAATACGTGCCTGATTGTACGCTAACTCTTCCCCCCGCGACTGTACGTCATACAATTTCAACGCAACAGAGCTCTTGCGAAACTCGGAAATCGATACGCATTAATATCGATCAAAAAAAAAAAATTAAAAAAAAAAGTTTTTTTTTTTTTTTATTGTTTCAGAGGAGGAATTTTGATCGCGTCCGGAATGATATTGAACGTAATAGCGTGCGCGCTGACCTACGTACCGTCGGAAAAATATGTTCGATCCGTCGGAACTACGGCGCCGATGTCGTCGTCGTCGTTGTCCACGTCCGCGGTGTCTATCGAAACGCGTGAGTCGGCCACGTCGGCCGCCAGTGCTGCGAGCGATTACTACGCCCCCGCTGCGGACGCCCAGCCACCACCGTCGTCGCCGAGTCCTACCGCGCCGAGCGTCAACAACTGCGGCGGTGACACGGAACACCGCGGAGTCGCGTCCACCGTCCGACGACTGTTCGGCGGCAAACCGACCGTCGGATTCGCGGCCGTATCCGCCGTCAACACACTTAGCCACCTGGCGTTCGCCACGTTCGTGGCCACCGTCGTGCCGTCGGCGGCGCACACCACCAACGCACTGCGGTTTGCGGTCGCCAACGCGGCCGGTCGCGTTCTGATGCCGGCCGTCTCGGACATGCTGTCGCCTCGTGGCTCGGCGTCTGTTTACCTGTACGCCGTGGCCGTGGCCATCGGTGGAGCCGTGCTGCTGACCACAGCCGCCACGCTCGTCGACCCGCTGCACAGGCCACCGCAATCGTCGTCCTTGTCGTGCCTGCTCGTCGCCGCCGCGTTGGCGTCCGGCGCCGTTGTCGCGCTCGAACCGCTCGTGGTCGTCCGCGTGTTGGGCTCCAAACGGCTGGCCGCCTCGTATTCCACTACACTGTTTGGAAAAGGCGTCACGCAACTGGCCGTCCATCTGCTGTTCACTTCTTCCGACCGCCGTCACCCGCACGGTCATCAAATGATCTCCACGTCCGTTGCGCTCTACGCACTCGGGTCTTGCCTGGTTGCCACGGCCGTAGCGTGGACGGCTGCATTCCTTTACAAAAGTCATTACGCTACCTCTAAAAACAGTTACGGCCGCTACGTGATTACTCTCTGATGTGCTAACTTCCGCGGGTACGTGCTATCTACCGCGATCCGGGGTCTGGCCAAAGTTTTCCCACGAATTCAGCCGAAAACGGTTTGTTGTTGGTTGTTTTTCTCTCGTTTCGGAAATATTTTGATACACCTACCGATGTAAACATTGAAAGAAACACGGTCCATCATAAATACACTTTTTTTTTTTCTATGAACTCGTCGTTTTAATCACAAGTCTAATAGTAGGGAAGCAACAAAAATCTAACTTCTGCAGTATCTTATCGGGAAGTACATATAAATACACTTATAGAAATGTATATCTATAATACTGGCATGTTAACCATATTTTGTATTGATTTATACGAATATAAAACGATCAATTTTATATTTAAGTCATAAATATAAACAAAAATATTTTGTTTTTTTTTCTATGTTTGTAAGTTTAAATAAATAAATATACCTCTATGTAAATTTAATGTATTTGCATTTTCATAAGATAATATTAAGTATAAAATAGGTAAGTATTATATAATTATGTACAGGTGAAACTAAAAATTAAATTAAAAAATGATCATTAAAAATGATTTATTATTATCCACTACTTATTACACCATAGAAACATATATAATAGTTAATACATAAATAGTTTTTTTGGCTACCCACCGATCCCTACTCACTTCAACACAACTGACTCATCATTAAAATAATTAAGTAATTATAGGTCAACGAAAGTAATGCTCGATACATACTTGATACATGTAATTTAATAAAATAATAATAATAAAAGGATGTTACGGAATATCATTTTTTTATTTAATATAATATATTAAATAATTATATATTATTAGGTATATTATAATTTTTAGTTTTCAAAAAAATGTTACGTGCAATAATAAATATAATATTATTTATTCATATTTTCTTCTGATAATTAAACAATATAATAAATATATATATTGGAGTTCATAGTTTAACAAAATAAGTACGTTTATTTTAGAGCAGTGTTTCCCAACTTTTTTTACCCGCGGAACCTTTGCAAGAGCTTGAACGTTTTGTGGAACCCCAATATTTTTTCTATAATATTAATACAGACATATGTTTTGTACACTTAATTGAGTGGATTATCGGACACTTCCGGCACAAAAGTGTCGTTAATATAAAAAAACAAGACGGCTTTAACATTTTATTTTGTTTATTACTATTACAATATTATATTAACATATTAAAGCTTAAAATTTAATATTTGTCTCTCATTACCTCTAAGATAGATTAAATGAGAAGATTGGAATTTTTCTAAATAGCTTTTTTCATAATTGTTTTTAAATCTGGAGTTATTTCTGAAAGTTGGATTCATAAGTCCAGAGCAGCGTTCAGTTGATTTCGAAAATTATCGAAACCTATTCTTATGCTGGGATTACACGTGCATGTTTTTTGTGGCGCCATCATGTACGCCAGTAAACATGTATCGCCAGTAACTGTTTACACAGTATTGCATCAAACTCTCGGCATTTCATTTTGTTGTAAATTTGTACAACTATTGTAGTTCCGTGTTTCGATTATTATTACAAATTTAATATTAATTATACTTACAATTATATTTTAAATTAATTAAAATGTCGGCTGAAAAAGAATTACATTTTCGTCATGCTTGTAAAATAGTATTAAAATGTTTGATTGAAAATATGAAATCGGATTTAGAAAAAAAGAGTAAAAAAAAAAGAAAAGATCTGTCTGGGTAAGGAAGTGGATTGCTAGAAGACAAAATTTTGGAGCATCCGATATGCTTTTAAAAAAACTTGCAGTAGAAGATTATTATTTATTTTTTATAAGCTTAAAATATTTTATAAATAAAATAATAAATTATATTTTTATGACCTTACAATAATATTATTATTTTATTTTTAAAAATAATCGTAGGAAAAAAAAGCTTTCGGGAAAAAAGACGGGAACGCCGAAAAGCTACAAACTACGCACCTCACATCGAGAAATGTGTCAATTCCAGTTCTATGCTCAAATCATAGTTCGAATCAAAATATTGCTAATTAATTTATATTTTCCCAAATTTCTCACGGAACCCTTCACACAAGCTCACGGAACCCTTCACACAAGCTCACGGAACCCTTAGGTTCCGCGGAACACCAGTCGGGAAACACTGTTTTAGAGTACCTATAAATAAGTATAATAATAAAATATATACCTTCTATTTATAGATTTACATCACTAATCAAAATTATAAACATTCATATAATAGCTTTTATTATTTATATGCCTTCTTATTTTTGACATTTTTTGTGTATACAAATGTACAAAATAATTATTACTTGTTGAAATAATTAAAAATAAATTAATCATGTCAATGTTAGTCGTTTAAAACTTTAAATTTGTTTATATATAAGCTGCGATTTTATTGACTTGGTATATACCTGATGAATAATTTTTAATTCGAATCCAGTAGTACTTTACAAATATAATAATATTGCAGGCTAAGCATTCATCTATTTTTTTATACTCGTATAAGCTATTTGTTTATTTACATATTAATTTACGAGTATTAACCATTGAATAATTTTTAATTTTTTATTATTTTATTATATTTTAGTCTTATACCTATACATACAACATTTTGAAGTTACTTAACTATTATTCTAATATGTCAGTAAGTGCATATATTTATAAATTTAAAATGCATTGTACTTCAATTATTAATTATTTTTTAAAGAATATTTTACTGTTGTCTCGTGGACGGTTTAGTAATATCTGTCGTTATGATGCATCGTTATTCATAATTTACTTAAATTGGTGACTAAAAAAATTTAAAGGGATGAGAAGAAAGAAATAATCAAAAACAATAATACCTATAGGTATAAATTTCTTTCAAATAAAAGAGGTAGAGATATAGAACGATAGTGATATTCATAAATCGTAAATAAAATCCATGTTGTATAAAAAAACACATTATTAATTCACATTCCACAAACATTATCAATAAATAAAAAATAATCTAATAATCATTACTATCCCAAAAATATGTTGCAATCATTAGTTGATGTTTTTTAGTTTGCTCGAGAAATCAAAATAAATTATTACAAAATACATTTTCAAATACTTTCCTTTGATGCGTAACAACATTGATATTACTTAAGTGTTGTATCTATTGTTAAAGTAAAAATTGTTAAAATATTCTATGTAAGGTTTGGTATTGACATTCAAAACAAATTCATAATATTATTTATTTAGATGTATTGATAGATAATAATCACAAATATATCGCGTGATATAGTTTTAAACATTGTATGTCTGGACATAACATAACAAAGAATGCATACATAAATTTAGTTAATTTTCAAGACTACACAAGTAAAAGTTAAAAAATGCCAATGCCCTAAGATGGCTAAAGTACCAATAATATAGTTGTGTCAATGAAATCATAAATTATTAACCATAAAAACATCTTTAATATTCTAAATACGAACAATAAATCACAATATTTAAATTAATATTCATTAATCATACAGTCAAATTAACTATATATTTATTTTATGTATATATCAAAATGCATATTAAAAATATATATGTTTATAAATGGCTTTTAAAATGTAAAATTATCAGATTTTATCAATTTTTGTTCCTTAATCTTCAATTAGTTTCATGTTGTATGACTTACCTTACCTAACTACTTTTGTCATATATTTTTTGTTCTTATTAACTACATAATTATACATTACTACAAGGTTCAATAAAGTATACTTGACAGTAGGTATAAAAACATCATAAATCAGATTCATACTTCTCTGAAATAATACCTGTATTACGTAAATATATGTATCTGTTATACAACATAATACTTGAGATGTAATTCTTAGTATGTTATCTCTTTATTAACAAGACTAGATTACATAAATTATCACCTATGAATGTTGTGGTTTTTAAATATTACATATAGCACATATGTAATGTTTACCTTGTAAACCTAGTAATTTGTTGATTTCGCACGAGGTAAGTGACTATTAATCTCTCGTGTTAATTAGTGAACCCTACCCATGTACGTAGGTATTCAAATACTTACAACTTATAAATTTGAGTAAATATAAATTTTATTCATTAAAAACATATCGAATACGAGTTTCTGTATCACACTAATATATAGATTTAATATTAAACAAATGTCTTAGCAACACCAATAAGTCATTGACTTGGTATTTTATCACGACCACTAAAAATTGGTAATGAAAATACCTACAGGTAAACAAATATATCACAAGATAAAGCACTGAGGAATTGTAAATTAAAAAAATGGCACAAGGTATATATTATTTGAATAAATTGTTCATTATACTTATTATTATTAATTGTTCATTAAAAAAATTACTTTTATACTTCAACTATTTCGTTTTATTGTCTAGATAAATGTATGTAAATATATTATACAAAGCAATCATAGTTAATCTTGTCAAATCAATAACAAGTTGTACTTATCGAATTCCTGTAATTTCGGATGAATACTCTTTATTTAAATTCTCAGAAATATAGTTATGCGTAAAAGACATTCATCCTTCGTTATAGTATAATTATGCATTAATCAATTATAATTAATCAATGGTTAAAGATACTTCAATGCTGTTGCCCCGGCGGCTGAATATGAGAGGGCGGCTAATTTTTTTATATTTTCAATATTTAATGATCTAATATTTTTAAAGTGAAACTTCTTTACAAAATAAAAAGTGTATCTCAAAAAAAAATATATATCGCCAATCACGGCGTCACGACACAAACACACACACACAACATACTCGGTAACGGTCGAGTACTGTCGATAGATCCAAAGATTTACAAGCAATCTATCCTTATGTTAACATTACACTTAGAATGTTTATGTGTACACCAGCAACGAATTGTTCTTCAGAAAGATGTTTTTCAATCCGCAGAAATTTGTATTTGGTATAATGAGGCGTTTATTATTGTTTCCCCCTGGTATCAAATTCCTAAATACGGCCCTGATTGTAAGTGAAGAGGTTATTAGAAAGTATATTATATAATAACTTATAACCCTTAATAAACAATGAAAAAAAATACATAACTGTGTCATTTTATACTATTTTATAAATACTATACTACGTAAAACTCCCCTTTTCTCGAATTTATCCAGAAGTAATCCATATCTAAACAGTAATAAACAAATGTTTGATTTAAATTAATTAGGTTAAATTGATATTTTAATTTTCATCAACTATGGTTAATAATACCTTTTTATACAATTAATAATTAGTAAGACATTAACTATAGTAGTGAACATGGTAGCAAAAAATATTTATATTTTATTAATTTAGTTAAAAATAATAAAAATAATTCATCATAATAATAATGATAACAATTAAATTATGACATTTTATACTTATATTAATTATACTCTAAAAAGCCGGTAAGATAATAGTGACGGAAATTTGTCATTTATTCCTTCGGTCCTCGGATTAAATCATGGTAATGGATGTATGAAGTTTTAAATATATGATAATTCATATTAAAACGATTCTGAGTAAAATTTAAGTATAAAAATGTATCGTTATTTTACAATTTTTAGTTAACACTTATGAAAAATATATCCACTTAACAATTTTTGAACTTTATTAACACCGTTAAGTTAGTAGGTATATGAGTAAAATTTTATTACATTTTAAGTACCTTAACAGAATTAGTTTCTCAGGTTGTTCTATGTCAAAAGTTTCATTATAACCAATTTTTTTTTTAATGAACATTTAAAACTGAGAATTGATTTAAAACCAGTACATTCTGTATAAATCGTATAATAATTTACTTAAAGGCTTATAAAATAAAATCTAAATTAACGATTTTTGAAATTTTTTCAGCATCGTTAAGTAAGTATATGAATAAGGTTATATTATTAAATTTTCAAGTCTTAATATTCAAAAATAACAATTTTATTACATGAAAACATTCAAAAAATGAGTTATTTTCAAAGTTCTATATTTAAACCAAAAGTGTTTAACTTATATTGAAAATTTTGTCAAATATGAAAAGAAATGTCTTTGATAGTCTTTAATAAAAGTTTCAAGTTTCTAGTCACTATAACGCATATATCTACATGGGTCCAAAATGTAATTGTTACTGATATATTCTTATATTTATTATAATAATAGCATGATTATCGGTACAGAACGTATACTACCCTCCATCATTCCCACAACACGTCGTTCCGTTATCGCCTCCGTCGTTGTTCATGTCCAGAACGGCATCTATATCCGTTATCGATAATATTGTAAGCCGATCAGTTAATAATTATGCATTAATAAGACCCCTTATCGGTATATTACTACAGTAAATCTCTCACATTGACGGATTGTCGTCGTGTCCACATCTCCACAAACACATTATTATTATTACATTGGCACTTCAAAATATGGAATAACACAATTCGCTGTACCCGCAGCGAGACGCCCGTCAGCAAACGATCAGGAGTGAGTGAATGTTAAGTATATAAAATTATTATTATTAAAAATCTTATATCTGGCCAGTACAAAAATGAAATGATTATGAGTAGCATTGAGAAAATGCTGTCATGTCCATAGAATTTTTTTTAAATTGATCTAGTTTTTTATTCATCTTTATTTATTCGGAGTTTTACGTCCACCTTAGCTTTCTCTGCACCAAATTAAAATCTCTTTTTTTATAACTATAATTTATCATTTAAAATAATACATTTTTATGTATCGCAATAACCAATGTTTTATTTTATAAATTTTCTTTTTAATTCAACTATTCTGATTATATTTATAAGTAACAAAAATCCAGATATTCCGTCTTCTGTCAGTCACGATACCAGATTGGCGACCTTAAGTATATGGTAAATGTCAACATGACATTATCCATGGGATACCAGGATCGAGACGTAGCACCACATTACTTTTGGAGTTATGACTAAATAACTAAAATTTGAAAAACGAAAGTCCCGTTTACAGCGCATTTTTACCGTTTTTCCTCACACATGGAAAAATTACCTTTCTAAAGTACATAATTATAAAACTATAAGATCTATCGCTTTACTCAGAACCTAAAATGTTCTCAATTGCCAATACATTTAAACAATTGTTGTTTCTTGTATAGTAATACATTTTATATGGTAAAATAAAGGTTCAAATTAAATGTAGATGTAAGATTTGAATTGAGATTTTTTTTTTTTTAGACAATCATGATTATCTATTTTATATTCTAAGTAAATACCTAATTGATTTAAGTTTTGTTTTTAATATTTAAAATCTTAAATCATGCTTGTGGGTATTAAATCAATACTAAATCTATTATTTGGACATTAGTACTTCTACTAATAATAGTAATTAATATGTAATACACTTATTTCATTTTTATGTATTTTGCTAAATGCTAAATCTGTTACTGAAATTAGATAAAGAACAAATAAATATACAGATACAGTAGTAAATAAAATTAAAACATATTATATATTCAGTTCTTTCTTTTGTAAATACATCTTTAAAAACAATATCAATAAACACATTATTAAATTACAAAAAAAAAAAAAAAACCATGACATTAATAGTATTTAATACAATTACCATGAAAAATTATATTTTTATCTTAATAACTAGATTTAATGAGTGAATATGTATAAACAAAGATTCAGAAACATGAATACACTTTTTTTTAATTAATACACAAACAAAAGTTAAACAACTAATTCGAACACTTTTTTTTTCTTCAATTGCAGTATTTACAAATAAATATAATGTTTTTTATGAATAAAATTTTAATAAGCAAATGCCATAATTATAACATTTATTAGATAGATGAATGAAGTCTTAAGTCTTAATAAGTATAAACAGTATAGATAAAACATTCATTAAAACCAATTTAATAATCAATTTTATCTATACATTTAAACAGGAATTCACTATTATAACTTATTTAATAAATGGAAATGCATGGCACGTTTTACTTTTAAAATAAAAATAAGAAAAACTAGGAACTAACCATTCCTGTTTAATAAAAGTGTCTTACCGAGAAATAAAAATAAATGTAAATTATCTTAATTTAAAACTGCCATAGTTAATTGTAAAAATTTATTAATATTAAAAATAATATTTAGTTTTGATATTTTGATTATTTTGTTAAATATAACTCATTTAAAATTCAACTTAGACAAAATTATTAGATTAAATAAAAAATAATAAATATTTAAATTAAAGATTTTGAACATTTAATTAGTTTTTTATTAAGTCTTAATTTAGTTACCTTTGAACTTAAGGTCTCCAAGAAGTAAACATCAGTTTATCATTCAATTCAGCTAAAATTAAAGCACAAACTTTAGCTTTATCATTTTTCATGATATTGTGGTATATTTTGTCTTCTGGATCTTGAACAACTTTAGTTTTATAATTTTGTTTTTGAGAAGCCACTCCTTTTTTTGGTTGTGTTATCTGTACATCTTGGCGGCCTTGAAAATTAACTTTTGGTTTTGTAGTTGGTTTTTCAGTCCGTTTCTGTAATAATATTTAAACCCAAAATATTATTATTGACAATTATATTTTTAAAATAAATAGATTTAGTTTCTACTATTACAGTATGTTATTTTAATACAAAAAACATATAAATAATATTTTAAGTTATAAAATATATCTGTTCAATAATTGAACGTTCAAAATAATCATTGACACCAATCATTTACATAAGTATGAATTTTACGAATTTATTCCTATACAATTACTAAGATTTATTAATATAGGTATTATCGAATAAAAAATAAAATATTGATAATCAATTGATGTATAATTTTATAATATTATACTGAAATACAACTCTGTGATTATAGCAATAACAAATTCATTTTTTTGTATTTTCATTGCAGATTAATGCTATTAAAAATAATGTGATTAAAGATTAACAAATGAAACAAATATTGGCTCAAAGAACATAATATGAATGTACTTAAATATATTTACCCGAGTTTTACGTATGAAAGCAGAGGCATCGTAATAGTTGGGCTTTTCACGGCGGACCCGTTCCGTTCTACGACGACCATCTGAACGTGTAGCGGCACCAGTTGTAGAATCTTTGAGTTGTTCGGCTGCAGACACGGCCGTTGTCGCTGTAGTCACCTTGGCCACAGGTTTGGGAGTTATGTCTTTTTTCGAAAGGTAAAACGAATGCTTGCATTTTGTACAAGTCTTTACGGCCACTGGGAACTAGAATATAAAACACGATTAACATGAAAAATATTAATTAATTATAATACATTAATTGAATCGCGACGTGACGTGTTGTTCGAAAACCACTGCAGTCGAGAAAAATGTCAACTGCTCATGATCATTGATTAAGAGTTAATATTATTATGCTACGTTACCTGCAAGCCACAGCCAGGACAAATTTTTTTCACCGAAACTTTTTTGTTCCTTAACATGTATCGATCGGTATGCACGAATTGAACGGTGGAAAACGACCCGGTCGCTCCGGTGTTGAAAAACTTTACTGAACGAGTGCCGAGTGGGTCAATGACGGCGATCGTGCATAACCACCACGTACTAAGACGAGTGTGCGGGAAACGAAGGAGAGTGAAAAATCACATAGAACGGTAAACAACAATAATAAAAACACATTACTGGAGTAGATATAAAAAACATTAATTTATTGGCATTTGAAATAGGGGGAAAAAGAACACCACACAGCCCGAGCACGATAGCTAGAGACCTCTGGTGGTAATGGATTGCAAATTCGTTTTATTGGTAACACTTATGCGGCGGCGAATGGTGCTTTTTCGCTTTTTGTCGGTGGTCCGTATAATATCAAAGTATCAATTATTGAGATTTCAAACTTTGAAATTTCAGGTAGGAACTTGTACTACTGTATTTATTGCGATATATGAAAACGCGATCATGACAATCTAGTTGTATTATCAATAGCCAGTGTTTACTGTTTATTAAGTAGGTACTCGTAGATTAATAATAACTACTTGGTAAGTTCCAACTTTTCGAGCAACGAAGGACAATAAATATCGATGTCCTACTCCTTAAAATCTAGGATGATAGTCGGGTAACGACTGTTAACAAGTTAATCTTATTTCCCCTTTTTTAAAATGGGCGTGCAACGGTTATTATATTTTTAAAAACTAATAAGAGGTTTAATATCATATACCGTTTCCAAATGGAAAAGTACTATATGTAGGCACTGAGTAGCATTAAAAGTTGGGTTAGATTATACAAATTAGTAAAAATTAATTATTGGTGAATTACAGAAATTATTCGATTATAAGCGGTTATAAGATATGGCGAAGTAATTTTAAAATGGTATAAGTTCTATGATCATGAATAATATAGATATCTAATATTACAAAACAATAAATGCTGATATCAAATATAAATAGTCACATCTATGATTACAATAAAAAATGAATTTTAATTATTATACGATTGATGTTGGAAACATATTAAACAATAAACAAGAACAATTACAAGAAACTAAACTAAAAACTTATTACTTTTCATGTTATCCAATTCCCATTATCAACATTTAATTTGGCGGTCAGATAACTCGTATACAGCATGTGTATTACGCATTTTTGAAGACGATTGTAGATACCTTTTTTTTAAACATAGTTTTATAATTAATTTTTGAAGTATAGCACTTTCACAATTCACTAATGTTTTATAGATTATATGCATGTGAGTATCTACATAGAAAATGGAAAGCTAGTTTATTCATATTTGTATTTCGTAAATTTGTTTATTATAAACTGATAATATTATGCTAACTTATTGCGTAATTCAGTCAATGTTGAAAACGATTTTTCTTAAAGCTATTTATATACATTCGAATTAAGATAGTATGTTAATTCGTAATTTTTTTTTTATATTTTAGTGTCTTTATTTATAAAACAACATTTCATTAGATGTTGGTATTAATACAAAGTTGGTGGATGATTATAAATTATTCTTTGTATTTGGAAGCCAGAACTTAGGATGAAAAATATGATGGAGAATATAATAGGAAAGAGTTAATTTCAAATTAATTTATTCTTATATTTAAAAATTTAATATTATTCTCATAAAATTAGAACCAAATACTAATGTTGTGTAGTTTTACCATGACTAATTTGTATTTTATTTGTATATTGTATGTATACAGGAAAAACTAAATTAAAAATTAAAATAAACAGATTTTACAGCAACATGATTTTATTAGACATGAACTTTTTATAGTATTATTTAGAGTACAATTATTTTATAAAATAAAGAAATATATTACATATTTATACTTACAATTTTGTTTGTTTTATAGGATGAATATTATAAACAATTCAAATGTAAACAATTATTCATTAGTAACATCTAAAATTGATGTTGACTTGGCATTTGATTTCAACTCCATAAATAATGATGTACAACAATGTTTGGATTATCTTACTACCTGGTACTGTAAAATCGGCTGTATTCAATTATTTGACAATGGTAAAATTAGAGACTTAAGTACAATATTATCTCATGACTTAATTAATAGATTGATTGCAAAGCTACCACAAGTTGATCATACAAATTATAAACTTCAAATAAACATGGAAAATAAATTTAATGAAGAACTTAGTTTGTTATATAATTTTAATATAAAAAAGTTTCTAATCGATCTTAAACTACCAAATGATTATGCTAACTTAGCTCGAGTGGTATGCAAATATTTAAAAAAACCAATATTGTTTTATTTTAACATACCTGTAACAGAAAATTCTTGGGACTTGTGGAATACTTTTAGAAACATGACCGGTTATAGTCAACAACTTGGTATAGTATTGTGCCTCACAAAGTATGTTCCGACTTGTAATGAAATGAGTAGATGGATTGGTGAACCAGTGCGTGCTTTATCAATTTGTACAGATTTTTTTATTTCAAATCAAAAAGGGTATCCAGTGCTCGGTAAACAATATGAAGATATTTTGAAAATTGCAATACAACAAAAATGGATTATAATTTTATCAGGTGAACCATTGCCTAACATGTTAGATTATTTTTATTACATAATGTTTATTACCAAGAACATAATCATTCCATCCCCAATTTTAGAGTGTGATGATCTCTTACAGTTACCCTTGCAACCACTTAGGGATAACCTTATGTCTTGTGTTTACCATGTTTTTGAACAAGATCCAGTTAAATACACACAATACCAAAAGGCAATACATATGGCAATAATTGATAAGAAAGTTAAAAAAATAGTTATCTCTGTTATTGGTGCTGGTCGAGGTCCTTTAGTTAAAGCTAGTTTAAGAGCTGCAGATTTAGCAGCTGTAGATGTTAAAGTGTATGCAGTTGAAAAAAACCAAAATGCTATACCTACACTTTTACATTATCAAAAAAACTTATGGGGAAACTCTGTTGAAGTAGTTTTCAGTGATGGTCGTGAGTGGGACTCCCCTGAGAAATGTGATATAATGGTTTCTGAATTACTAGGATCATTTGGAGACAATGAATTATCGCCAGAATGTTTAGATGGTGCTCAAAAATGTTTAAAAGATGATGGTATAAGTATACCTTGTGAATATTCATCCTATTTAAGACCTTTAATGTCCCATAAGCTGTTTAGTCAAACTATAAACAACAATAATATCATGGACGATTCATGTATTTCAAATTCAAAAAATGCAGTATTTGAACAATCTTATATTGTATTACAGCCCAACAGCTACAAACCCACTAAAACCAAAAAATTATTTACATTTAACCATCCTAAAAGAAATATAGATAGCAATTCACGGTATAAATGTCTAAAGTATGAAATAAATTCTAATATGCAATTACATGGTTTTAGTGGCTATTTTGATGCAATATTATATAAAGACATTACAATAAGTATAGAACCGTCAACTTACAGTGTTGGTATGTTCAGTTGGTTTCCAGTTTATTTTCCAATTAAAGATACCATGCTTGTTCAATCAGGTAATATTATAAGTGTTCATTTTTGGAGGTGTTGTGATGAATACAAAGTTTGGTATGAATGGTGCGTTACTTCACCAAAACAAACACCAATTTATAATTGCCTAGGAAAATCAAATTCTATTAAACTTTGATGTTTTAATAAATTAATTAAATGGTGTTTCCTATGTATGATAAGTTCTATTATATATTATTGTATATTTTTAGTACTTTTTTTATGATGTTAAAATACTTAAATTTATCTTCAATTTTATTTTTAAATACATTTTTATACAAATTGAAACTAATTAAATACAAAGGTATAATGTATTATTTGAGTTTTTCTGAGTGAATAATTACTTAAACAGATGTTCAGATAACAACAAATAATATATTTTATTGTATATTCATAACAGAAATTCAAATACAATTTTGTGAAATATATAAAACAGATAATATATGTATATTTTTCATGTTAAATGTTTAACCATTAAGTAATTTTAAGCAAGGCTTTGCACTTATATAGTATAATTTATATCAATTTTATATTTAGTCTTAATTCTAGTTTTATTATTTACTTAGCTAATTTCTAAAAAATGATTTTGTAATAAATAAATAATTAATGTATTTGTATCAAAACAATTTGAGAGAATAAAATGAGTTTGTCATACAATTTATATATGAGTAAAAAATAACATTTTCATACTGAAAAAAATGTAGGATAGTAGAAATAATGAAAATATTAAAAAAAAAAAAAAAGGAGAAGTAGAGAAGTAATATCTAATAACTGAAGTGAGGGAAAGGAAAAAAAAATTGTAAATAACAAAAAGTATCATCCAAAGATTGATATGGCAGGCTGGTGATGGTCCTCGGTGTGTTGCCAGTCAATAGAAATAACTACTTGATTAGTTATTACTGTATTAAGAACAGAGTTGGTGTATATTAATTTTATAATCATAATAAGAAAAAACACAAGAGTTTTATGAGCACTCTTTGTACAAGATATGTTATTCAAAAGCGATTATCAAAAGTAAAATAGCGATTTCTGATTCAATTTTACCTCTAACATGGCCGCTTCGAGTAGCCCATCACTTTCACTCGATTTCTGCAGGTACAAAATAACGTTCGTGGAATTCTGCACATCGAATCCCCTTAATAATCCTATACTCTGGGTCCTGTAGATGGTTTTGAGCACAATGTAGTGGGCAATTTTACGAGTTATTCTAAGAAAACCGGCTAATCTTCTCTTTTGGCGACTGCAAATGTCTACGTTGAACCGATCCCACTGCGGTAAAATGACGACCATATTCGCCTTGACTCTGGACAACACTTAAAGCTCACGTGCCACGACCATTATTCATATTGATAGAGACTTCTGGTCCATATCTCTAGCTATATGGGCCAGCAGCTAAAGTTTCTAGCACATAGTAAGAATAGCCTTGAGTTTATATTGTAGGCTTATTTTGTACCCTTTTTATTACATTCATTAATTCGATTTTTGTAGAAAGTCTACGATGTTCCGGACTTTGTCTAAAATCTTCCAGTAGTGAGAACATAAATAATCTATTTGAGTCAAATTCTCGGTTTCTTTCACGATCATTCCCTTACTGAGATACTATTTTTTAATACTTTAATTAAACTGCCTTCGTTACCTTCAACAATGTCTGTTTCATTAATATTAGTTTCAGTTACATTGTTTACCACTGTGCCCTTAAGAAACTATAGTTGTGGAAAATAAATAAAAGAGTTTTTACGTGAAGTTACAGATCCAATTTTAGAACCTGTTATGCGTTTTAATTCCATGCAAAACTTGTTCTGATGTTCTACCACTTTTACTGTGGGGGTTTACCTGAAAATTAAAAATTTATTTGAGATATCTGTCTATAGGATATATTATAAGAGAATTAAATCATAATTTTCGGATTGATTATTCTACTGCCCGTGATATATCATACATAAAACATGTTTAGCTATTCAGAAGAATGTGAAACAGACAGCGTTTCCAGAATTAAATAAAGAAATATGGATTGAGATAGCTAACGGTTTTAATGAAAAATGCAAACTATCCTAATTGTATTGATGCCATAGACAGCGAGCACATAAGAGTAAGAAAACCAAGTGGTTCAGGCTCTCTTTATTATAAATAGGCTTAGGAACTTCTAAAATTTGCATACTTTTTTTTAATTACTGTTAAATGTAGCAGAGTGCGAAATAAATTCGTTTCTCGGTGCCATGATATTGAATCTAAAATTTGAATCTAAAAAAATCTAAATCATTAATATGTGCATATTTTTGCATGTGTGATAGATTTTGCAGGACAGTTCATATTTTACAATTTTTATGCTTATTTTGAATATTTTGACAAATTTTTCAAATTAAAAATTATAGATACATATAACTATTTAAACTATGTATATATACATATTTCAAAAGATCGAAAAAAAAATGTACTAAGAGGACTTGATATTTCCAGTAATATGCTATCTACAAACTACCTCTCATATCTCGTTATAATTTTTGTGTAAGTATGAATAATACTATAAGCCCGTATCGATCGTATAACCCGCTGAATATCGACCGAATGTCGATAAAGATAATAGTCGATATGGAATAATAGATTATTTATTTAGTTCAGTCGATAATTATCCGTCGTTGTTTTTGCGTCTCGCGACCACACAACGTCGAATCATACGAAAAACGACGTACGGGTATATTTTGTAACATTGTGTAATGCCGAAAGTACAATAGTCTACGAGTAGCTGACTACAAAGTTTTGTTACGGAGTTTAAAGATACATACATTTACATCTGATGGACACGTTTTATTTTATGTACTATGTGGTCATTTTTTTTTTTTTTTTTTTAATGCATATAAACGCACAAGGCCGTTTCTGGAAATTTTTTTCGGGAGGGGTCCAAAACATGTGTATTGTAATTTTATTGAATTTAGATTTTAACTTTTGATATTTGGTTAAAAATAAGACAGAAAAAGATTTAATCTTCTTTTATTAAAATTAATATCATATTTGTATATGATATTATGGTATAAAATTAAAAGCAGTCAATGATTAATTGGAGCTTAAGTCATTTTTGACAGAAAATATTTATATTGGTATTAAAAATAAATAAGTATTATAAACATTCGTAAAATATTGAAGACATTTTGGGGGAGAAGGGGTCCAGACACCCTGGACCCCTCCCCCAGATACGGCATTGTAAATGCATATTATAATGCATATTTTAATGATTTCAGAAGCATATTTGCATGCATATATGTGTATTTTTTAGAGCTATAAGTCCCTAAGCCTAATTATAAATATAAAAATTATTTCTCGAATGTTGTACTTCCTGTATGTGATGCAGATTACAAGTTCACTTATATAGATATTGGAGCATTTGGAAAATGTAGCGATTCATCAACTTTTAAAACTGCGAATACCCGAGAAATGTCTCATACAAACAACGAATTACCGATGCCATATGTAATTGTATGCGAGATATTTGGTTTATCCGACAATTTGATGCATCTTTATAGAGGAAGAAGTTTAATAAGAAACAAAAGAATTTTTAACTAAGTATTGACTGTCTCGTACAAGGCGTTTTATTGAATGTGAGTTTGGAATTCTGGAAAATAATTGGAGAATTTTTCACCGCCCAATGAATGTTCGAAAATGATTTGCAATCATTTTAGTAAAAACATGCTGTTTGTTTTATAATTACATAGGTACGACAAAGAGATGGATATAGATTTCAAGACATTGTACGTCTCTCCAGAAATAGAAACACTACCTGTTCTACTTGCGGCATTAGAACATGGAGCTACCAAAATGATTACTTACACAAAATGAATTGTTAGGTATGTGCAAGGCCGGATTAAGGGAAGGTCTAGTCGGGGCAGTAGCCCCGGGGCCTTTTCGAGTACCCAAGTGAAAGGGGGCAAAAAAATTTAAGTCGATACACATTTTTGATCATACTAAAACTAGTAGTTTTATAGACTTAAATTGTATATACCTATTAATTTTATAATACCATTGACGATTTGTGAAATAGTTAAAAAAATGTATCATTCTGCAAGCGTAGCAAGCAGCTTTGTAAACCATATTTTGTCGTCAAAAGAACCCATATAATATTTCAGCCCCGGGGCCTAATAGGTGCTTAATCCGACCTTGGGTGTGTGTATACAAAAACAAAAATATATATGTATATTAATCAATATTAACGCCGTAGCATAAATAAATAAAGTATATGAAAAATTATACCTAGGGGTGCCCTAGAAAAGACTTATCAGTAACAAAATATAATAATATTTAAAAAATAATACCCTTGAATGATAAAAACAAATTATAAATAATTAAAAACTATACAGAAATGTAAAAATATAAACAACAAAAATAGTTATTCTAAACGATAGAATTGTTATATAATTGAACTAGGTTCAACTTATGTAAATACTATTTTGTTTAATAAGATTTTTTTAACAATAGGTATTATTTAAATTAAAAATTAATTTTAATTTTATATATAATAATATAATATACCTATATTGTTTCATGTTATTTTAGTAATATAAATATTAAACTATACTAAAAGTAATTTATGTGTATTTAAAATTATACATTTACTTAGAGTACTTAACATAATAAAGTATGGAAATTCATAAAAAAATATTTATATAATATTAAAACTAAAGTTGATCAATCTCACTCTAATCTAAATCAATTATTTTTTCATTTAGATAATAATATGAAATACCTAATAAAATATATTATACACTTTATTATTATATCTAAATATTATATTATGGTATCTCGCATAATATTTTGTTTACTTGTTTCAAACTGCTGTACCTATATACATCTTATTTACTAAATTCTATGCATAATTAATATTTTAACGTAGCTACTAGTATGAGTTTACATTTGAATTTAAAAAATATATATTTATTATATATGCTATATTTATATTGTATAAAAATAATAATTATCTATATGTTAATTACTGCATGATTTAAATTATATAATGTAAGTTTCCATGATTATAAAAAATAAATAAATTTGGTTTAATTAATGTGTGTAATTAGTCATAAAGTAATAAAAATAATTTTTAAGTTGTTTACCTATGAAATATTTATAAATATATATAATATATAATATTTATAAAAAATATTAATAATATGCAGGCCCGTATTTAAAAGGGGTATGGGTAGGCACAGGCCTGGGGGCGTCAAGTCTCAGGTGAGGCAAAATATTTTAGCAAAATTAATTTTAAAAATTATGTACCTAATGAAAAAAAAATAAAACAATGAAAAAAAAAATAGTATGTTATATTGTTATAATTTGTTTAATTTGTTAGTTGAAATAAGTATTAAATGATTTCCATTAATAAGTTATATTTTAATATTAAAGAATCTCGATTATGGACGAAATAATAAGTGGTATATTATTATTTATTTTGGGAGGGGGGAATAAATTATATGCCCGGGGGCACCAACATTTTAAATACGAGTCTGATAATATGTATTATACTCAGTGGTTAAAGTGGGGGGACGGAGGGGGACGGAGTCCCCCTTCTTATTTAAGGTAAGAATATGCGTCCTCTTTAATTTAAGTCACCAAAAGTCCGGATGGACTCTTAATGGCATTGGTCACTAAAATACAATATTGAATATACAATATTTATTATAATATTACAATATTACCTGAAATTTATTTTTTTGATTAATTTGAACTAGTGGAAGAAAGAAATAATATGCAGTTGTAATATATAAAGTATTTATATTTATTTATATTTCTATATTACAGTACTAATGTATTTCGATTTATTTTTACTGAGCAGGCATATGTATAGAATTATTTTTCTTTGGGAGAAATTTGTTTTTACACCCTATAAAAATACATTTTTTAAGAACATAAATGTGTAACAGTGGAGGCTTAGACCTCATGGGTTTCCTAAAAAAAGTTGGTAAGATTTAGAATTAGGTAGGGGAACACACCTCAATTTTTGATCCATACAGTCCCCCCACATCATTTTTCCCCCTTTTAACCACTGATTACATTTGTAAAAATACTAATTTGTTTAAACTAGCAAAGTGCGTAATTATATAATTTAATTATATTGTATACCTACAATTTAATATTAAACATATAACTTAATTAATTTCTTTGCTTTTATATGATATGAATCTTCATAGCACTAAGCTAATATAAAAATATTGTCAATTCTAAATTATATGTATTTATATTGTCAAGTGTGTACACAAAAAAATATTTTGGGAAGGGTTTTAAGTTGTACATTTTTATAATAATATAATCTACATACCAAATTTACTATATAAAAATATATTTAATCATTTTCCTGAATTTCGGGAAGGGTTTGAACCCCTAAAACCCTCCGTTATGTACGCGCCTGTATATTGTATATTTTATATAAACTTCATTATATTATTATATATTTATATACCTACTTACATTGTTTTACCTATATAATTTATACTTATGTTTAATACAATTTGTAGTATATACAAAATAAGAAAATATACTAAATGTATTAATTTATTTCTATAATTCTTATAACTACATATCCGTGCATATTTTAATTATATAAACGTAAACGTGACTAGATAGTGTGATATAAATGGAGAAATATAAAATTCGTTGTTTAACGTTTAAAAAATTGATGTTTAAATATTGTACTATTGTCTGGTGACATTTGTTTTATTCTGTTGTAAAACGTGTAATGAAACAATTTTAATAGATAAAGTGAAAAACCGCTGACCTTTATTCAAGATAAATAATGATTTCTTGATCATATCAATCATACAGGCTGATTTAATATTATCATCACAATAAAATAATCTAATTAATTTATATTATATGAGTTGTAAAATATTAATTTTCCTGCGCAATATTGTACAAATGACAAACTTTTCCGAAAATAAAAACTATCTTAACTGTTGAAAATAGGTTTTTAATTACTTGGTTCACGTTATAATACTATCACTCTGTATATAAAGTGTCTAGTGGTTATAATGTTGTAAACAAGTGTAGAATATTATAACAATTTTATCCGTAGTTGTGTATTTGTTCAACGAATTCCGTGCTATATAATAGAAAGTTATCGTAGGTTTAACAATCAGTTGGATTATATTTTTGTCTGTATGGTCAGTGTCGTTAAGTACTTCTGACTGAAATGGAACGTAAGATTTCGCTATTAGTCGTCTTTTCCATAGCCATTGTGACGGCGTTTAGCGACCGACTGCAATGCAAAGATCCTAAAGGACAACCGGTTGACTGGTAAGTAATATAATAAACAGCATAATTGGTCGAGCAAGGAATCCTATTATTACACCCAATATCATTGTATCATCTTGAAGGAGTTTATCTATGGGTATTTTTTTTATTTATTTTGTTTTCTGTAACCGTTTTTAATCGATAATTTGGATGTGGTTACTTCTTAGTTCTCGGTATAAAAACATATTTTTGTATTTGAAAGGCTACGGGGAAAAACGATAATAATCAAAAAAAGAGAAAAATCTTATAGTTATATCATCTTGCCATTTGTTTTAAAAAGTAAATTTAATTTTTTTTTTATTCATTTCGCTAAAAATTAGTTGTATTACCATAGTAAATATTTTTGAATTATTTCGTTTTTTATCTGTTAATTTTTTAAATCCTGAAACTTTAAAACTGCAATACTTAACAGTTTAGGAGTATTGACTATTATGGTTTTTCTCCGTAACATTTCATCTGTATATAGCTGTATATGGCGAAACTTTTTTGGGTCAAGTGCCAAATTTTTTTAATCAAGGTTTTGAAAATCGTTCACCTGCCCAAAGAAAATTATATTTTCTAAAGATAAAAATAAAATTTCAGATTTATTACATAATTTTTATTAAATATATATTTTTGTAATTTTATATGAATGATGTTTTATTAAATATCTTTAATATGGTGTTATATATTTAACCATTTTGTGCTCTTTCTTAACGGATAAAGTTTTAATGTCAGGAGTGTACTTTGACATTTTTAGTGAAACACAAAGAACAATTATTTCATTGGTCAAAGCAATTTCTTTCTTTGGGTTTAATTTAATTCGTTAAGAAAGATTAAACTTTCACAAGCATAAGTTTAAAAAAAAATTGAAAGTATAAGGAATATAATCATTTTTAAAATGTATGAAATTTGTTTTTTTGAATTTTTCTTAAGTAAAATACTATAAATAGTATAATTTTGTTTATGTAAAATTTTTAATAATTTCAATTTTTTCGCGTGCTATTAAAATGTATAACTTTTGTCACGCATGTCATAGGTTTGTCACTCCAGGTGTATAGCGAGTTAAATTCTAAAACTTAAAAAAATACAGAAAATCATTGCAGTATGCTGAAAATAAATAATATTCACATTATGTTTGTATCTTTTATGTATTTAAACAGTTTAAAAATTATTAAGAGTATAGTTACTATAATTTATAATTTGCCACCCAAGAAAAATACTTAAGGTCATAAGTACCCTGGTGCGGATACAAGGGGGCTATGGGGGCTGAAGCCTGAGTACCTAAAATATATTTCAAAGACTGGATACCTACTTTAATTTCCAATTCATTCATTAAAGTAAAGAAAAGCAACACTATACTTATAACATAATTATTATTTTATATTACTTATTGACGTTTAAGAGTGAACTGTGATATTTTTTAAACTACTAAATATTTTGCGCTCTTACCCATATTATTGCATAATTTAGGTATGCAATAAAAGGTAATTTTTTTATTACATTTTTTTTATTATTATTTTATAATATATATATATATATATATGATTATTATTTAATTCACTATAAAAACGTTAAACTAATGTCTATGATTTTATGTTTACATAAAACCATAGAAATTAAGTATACTTGAAATCCAGCCTTCCTCCCTTTTTCATTTTTAGATCCGCGCCTGCAAGTACTTACCTAACCTATAAATATGTATAAATATATGTTAAGTCTTAGACATGTTTGAATTTTGTGTGCATGCTCAGCACAATTTTTTTTTATACTTCTGTGTTTATCTCATAATATGTGTAAAAAAGGTTTACGGCCATCAAACTTCCGAATCTCAAGTCCGATGAGTCGGACGGTACAGTTTACTTCTACATGGATGCTAAGAATTCCCAATGGACTTTCTTGACCGGCATCACTACCGAGGAGTCTGCTATCGGATACACCGTGGGACAGATGTACTCGCCATCGCAAAATTATAATAACGTAAGTTACAGTTAAGATATGATATTTTAACTCATAGTTTATAAGTACTATTATAATATTTTGGCAATTAAGACGAGTTTAGACGCATTTATTTCAACATTTTAAAATGCATGTAATATTTGCATGTCTTTAATGAATTATTGGGCAACGAGATTTCTTGATATGTGTACTTGATGTGAGTACTTTCCAGCCATATTACTGGCATTTTCATATAACTGTCCAACACAGTTTTTAATATCGATACCAAAGTTCTCAATTATATGCCCATAAATATCTTGAAATTTCAAAAAAACGTTCAACGGGTTGTTCATCATAATTAACGTATCGTAATACAATAGCTAATTGGTCAGTGTAATTGATATCAGGTGTAGAGTCAACAATCAGACCAAAATATTTTGCATTTTTTATTTCTTCTATTATGTGTTTTAAAACTTTATCTACCATTAAAATTATGATTTCACGAACTATATATGATGAAATATAATTTGTTTTACCAATACCAACGCTCCCATAATTATTGAGATCTTATTTTAAAATGGATCAAACTTTGTTAAAAGTCTAAAATGTCTAAATAGCAGTATTATATTATTAATATTATTATTATCTATTTGCTATCGAATTATTTTTGACTGTTGGTTATTTTTAAAACATTGTCCACACACGCTCGACAATGTTCTCCAAAACAGCAACAAAACGAAAACATTTTGATGTTTACCGACACCGCTCGGGACAAGACTTTGTTTTTAAAAATACGAATAATTTGTTGGAAAAAACAATTGTTATGAAAATGTTTTGATTTTGTCGAAAAACACTGAGTTTCTGTTTTGTTTTACTTTTGTCGTCTATGTGTGGAACCGACATAATAATGCTGATAATGCTCCATAATACCCGAAAAATTCCATTACACGCATTTCCTTGTAATTTCATTTTTTCCGAAAAATGTTAATCCTCTATGAGATAAAAATTGAACAACTGCTACTGTTGGTTTTAAAACATCCCTCCAATAGTGAATATTTTTTTTATTTTATTTTATTAATAATTTAAACTAGTGAATTTGATGAACATGTGAACTAAAGAATAGTTAATTTGAACTATTCATTTCAATGAACTGTGAACTAATGAACTTTTCCTTAAATTGAACTGGAAATTCCTTATCTAAAAGGGCTGTCACACGTGGCGATTTTATTCGCCGCGACTAGTAGCAGCGACTTCTCGCCACATCAAGTCACGCGAGTAGGTTGTCACACACGGAGTAGTACGAGATAGCGAGTAGCGAATAGTCAATCGCAAAAATATCGTCAATTGTATTACGTCGTACCATTTTAAGACGAATAATTCGCCTTACGTGTGCAGAATTAGTAGAACAATTAATTGTTGATGTAAAAAATACGTGAAAGAGGAAGTGGGTTCGTAATTGGATTCGTAAAAGAAAACAATTTGGGGCCTCTGCCTTACTTTTGAAGGAATTGGCTGAAGAAGATCATTCTGCTTACTGAAATATTATGCAGTTATCATAGATGAAGTTTGTTCGTTATTCGAATAAATAACTTGGCAAGACTATCAAATAATTCGATAGTTATTATTCAATAACGCCCATCACTAATAAATATGGCATTGTCGCCCAGTATATTAGTTAAAATATGCCCTGTGCTATCCTTATGGCACATGCATCTTAAATAAATCTATAATAACAATAACAATACAGTTTATTATGATTTTGATCATTAAATATATTAAACTAGTTGAATTACCTGTCGTTGCCATGTCTAGGTATTGTTGTTATCTGGCAAGATTTAATATTGTCTCTACAAATAAAATTTAAATAAGATTGTTAAAAAAATATTTCATATATATATTAATTAGTTATGGAGCTGATTATTATCATTATTTGTTTTATTTATTTTAGCTTTTGGCAGTAGCTTCACCTGTGCTAGAATATAGGTATACATAGATTATTAATATCCGGTTTCATCCATGGTTTAAATTGTTAAATTGACCAGCTGTTCGAGTGTTAGTGTTGTTTTTTGTTTTATAAAAATCTGACCAAGAAATAACGTTTTTCATTTTTAACCCCTATTACCTTTTTAATTTAGGAACATGAGTTACAGAGTATGTATACTTCACCCATGTGCAGTATTATTTGTGTTACATACCCTATTATACCTATTAAATTTAATAGGTATATAAAAAAAATAATAATTTATGACAACAATTTTATTATACAACTTCTCTATAAACTACATTTGATGTATTTCCTGTTGGTGCCAAATAACTAAACTAGTGAGTGTATTGGCACTAGAGTATGCCACGTAAAATTGTAACTGTCCATGTAAAATCAATCTTCTCTTATATCGATTCCTACGATTTTTAATGTTTGACCTTGTGATTTATATATTGTCATAGTAAAACATACATTGACAGGGAATTGCATTATCTTGATTGGAATGGATAATCTGATGGTATCATTGGTATACAAGGAATAAAAACTTATTCACATGTTGCAGATCCAGTCGTAGTTTAAACTTCTATTAAAGTTTTTTGAAAATCAGTCATACATAGACGTGTCCCATTATACAATTTTGGTGGGCTAAGATTTTTTAGAAGTATTATAGGAGTACATACCAATTTTCAATGTTAATTGAATTATCAATTGTAAATTAATTAAATAATCATAATTGTAAAAAATTAATTCAATGTTCATGCATATTATTATTAAAGAAAGCTCATTCGACTATTTACTTTTTGACCAGAGTTTGTTGAAAATTTAAATAAATACCAGGGTTCAATGCAACTATTCTACTTTATACTATCTATGTACCTAATATACATATTGAAGTATTGTACACAGAAGTAAAAAATAGATCATCGATATAAATAATATACATATATAACGGTTTATTCTCCATTTGATTCACAATAGCCTATTACATTATATTTCATCCTGTTTAGTCCATAATGTGGATTGTATACAACGACGAACCAACCAATGGTAATGTAACGTATAGTCTGGGCCATTCTAAGGGTGTTGTGGTAGCAAATAATGATTTGGGATTTTGGCTAGTTCACAGCGTGCCCAAATTCCCGCAACTGCCTTACCAGAACAATTCGTATAGGTATCCCAAAACTGGCGTGAAGTACGGCCAGAGTTTTCTTTGCATGTCCATGATGGCTGAGGAATTGGACAAAATTGGTTAGTGAATAGTCTTGGATTGGATAAAATAAACGTACATTTTATAATAATCATTAGTTAATATCCTCCTCTCTTAATGAACGCAGGTGATCAGTTAATCAACAATGAAGTTAAAGTGTATGGCAGTCACTTCGGTGGCAATCTCAAATATATGTACCCAGGTCTTTACAATACCACATTGCCGCACAGCAAGCCTAGCAAGAAAAACAATGGAGTTAGAATACAACATCTTCAATCCATAGAGCATTTTAAATTCTTATCAATTTCAAAAAATCGATATTTTGGAAAAGGTAAATTATTTAGTGATAGCATACATGTATTTTGGTAACACATTTATTAATGTTTGCAATATAATAATAATAATTAACTGTATTTTAAAAAACATAATATGACTTAAACATTATTTAAAAACTGAAACAAAATGGACAATAATTTTACAAATGAAAAATTAAAGGAATGCTTAAGTAACTACCAGTAATAAATGAGTTGTTTGGAATAACACAGATTATTAACATACTGTTTATCAAAAAAATTATAATACAAATATATATATATACAAACATAACTATTACAGATTTGTATGCAGACTTAATAACAAACATGATACAGTCTAATGTATACACAGAGACTTGGTTAAATACAAGAGATAGGTTCCACTCCAATTGTTCCAGTCGGTACAAGTAAGTTAAGGTAAATTAATATTGAGCGTGTTAACAAAATCATTTTATATTTAAATATATTTAGAACTCTAAACATAAAAACATTATCCTTTGAAGATAATAAAGGATTCAAAACTTTAAGATACAATTCTTCCAAGGATCATTCAAAATGGGTTATATCTGGTAAGAGTTCTGTTCCATGGACTTGCATAGGTGACATAAATCGAGGTGTAAGTTAATTAGTATTTAACTGTAATATAAAAAAAATATATTCATTTTTTACACAAAATATATTTCAATTTATAGTTAGAACAAACACATCGTGGAGGTGGAACAGTATGTATAGTTTCATCAACAATATGGAATCAATTCAAGAAACTAGTGTTTGACATTGAAAAGTGTACAATTTAGTGAATATTAATTCTCACCCAGAATGGTTATTAGTAATCGTGTTTGAGCACCATTATTATTTAATATTCCACTGTTATGCATTTTGTTTTTAAATACTCATTTAAAGCTTCTTCACCTAATTTAGAAAATTATAATTTAATTTGCAAATTTAAAAATGAAATAAATAATGCTAAAAAAACTACTATACCTAAGTCTTTACCAAATCCAGACTTCTTAAAACCTCCAAATGGAGCTGCCACATCAGTTTTATTGTAAGTGTTTATAAATACAGTACCAGCATCAATTTTTTCAGCAAATCTTAAAGCTTTGCTAATATCCTTTGTGAATATACCTGAAGACAGACCATATTCTGTTGAATTGGCCCTCTTAATGACTGCATCCAGGTTGCTATTGGGTACATTTTATTTCATTCAGGATTTTAAATTTAAAGAGTAAAAAAAGTTGTAAAATGCATTTCTTTTAATTACCTGCCACTAAATTTAGATATAGCCATGATTGGTCCAAATGATTCTTCTTGTGCAATAAACATGTGGTCCTCGACACCTGTATACACAGTTGGCTCAAAATAGTATCCAGGTCGATCAACTCGTTTTCCTCCAATTTTCAGTTCGGCTCCTTCATTATTTGCTTTTTGGCAGTAGTTCAATAGTTTTTCCAAATGGGTTTTATGATTTTGGGGTCCATGATGAGTGTCTCGTTCTAATGGATTTCCAATTTTCTAATATTAAGTAAAATACATTAAATTATTGTGTGAATAAAATATAGTTATGTATAATATACTCACAATTTTTTTAACTTCTTCAACAACTTTATCGACAAACTTGTCATGTATGCTGGATTCCACAAACACTCTACCTGCAGCTATACAATTCTCTCCTTTGTTGAAAAACACTCCTCCCATACTCTAATAATAATTAAAGCAAATTGTTTAAAACAAATTCTAAATGTAAGGAATCACACATACCATTCGAACAGATTTCTCCAAGTCGCAGTCATCAAATATAATCAGTGGGGATTTCCCACCAAGTTCTAATGAAACTTTTTTTAAGTTTGATTCTGATGATGCTTTCATGATCATATGACCTGTTGCAGTGCTTCCTGTGAATCCTACTTTTCTTATATCAGGATGCTCAGCTATTGCTCTACCAGTCACGGTACCTAATAGTACCATCATAAGTTGCAGGATTTAGAAGATTTAAAAAACAGTTAACATTATAAATCTCAGTTTCATATTACCAAGTCCAGGTAAAATATTTATCACACCAGATGGAAAACCAGCTTCAACAGATAGTTCTGCAAACTTTAAAGCAGTGAGTGGAGACATTTCTGTTGGCTTCAATACCACAGTATTGCCTGCAGCTAAACATGCAGCCATCTTCCAGGATAACATCATTAATGGATAATTCCATGGTGTGATGATACCACAGACACTATAAATCAAACATTTATATTATATATATATTTATTTATATATATTATACAAATTAAAAATATATATTTGTAATATTTCTGTTTATAATCTACATACCCAATTGGTTCTTTTTTTGTAAATGTTAAATTTCTATTAGGTCTAGCATGTGATATAGGAACTGTTTGTCCATGTATTTTATCTGCCCAGCCAGCAAAATATTTCCAAACATCAATTGACATACCAATATGAGTTTTCAATGCTAATGTATATACTGCACCAGAATCAATGGATTCTATTGTTGCTAATTCTTCTCTGTGTTTATCTAATAAATCAGCGATTTTATACATAATAGCTCCACGATCTCTAGGACTCATTTCAGTCCATTCTCCTTCAAAAGCTTTACTAGCAGCATTAACGGCTTGATTCACATCAACTTCAGATGCACATTGAATCTATATTACACAATAAATATTAGGAAGCCAATGACAATAAATAACTAAATAGATTATAAACTTTACAGAACAAATGACAGATTCGTCAGCAGGATTGATACACTCTACCGTGTTTCCAGATTCTGAATCTATAAATTGACCATTAATGAATAATTGTTTGGCAAACTGTAATTTCATATTGTTAACTTCAATTACAACTGGATCATATTCTACATGCTTCTTTTCATCAGAAGTACCTCTTGACCTCTTAATCAAGGTGTTACAGAAATCTGAGAAAATGGGAGACATGAATACATCATCATTTTTTATAGTCAATTTCAATTTATCTTTGATCTCTTCAATTAATCTATAAAATCATCATGAACATCAAATTAATTATATCATGTAAAACAAAAACTAATTTGTTCATTTATTACCTGACTACATCCATAGAACCAGCTCCGGATTGGAAAAAATGTGTATTATTTTCAATACCCATATTAAGAATATTTTTCCAGATAGTCTCAACAATTGGGATAAGCGCTTTCTCCTCAGCTGTGAATTCAATTGTTTCTTGAATGGTGTCAGCTTTACCATACATTGATGCAGCCATCATTTTTCCATCTACAGACAACCTATTTATGTTCAGCTAATAAAGAAAATAAAAATAAATTACATCAAAATTATATAATTGCAGCAACTACTAGAAAACTATTAAAAAGTAGGTACAAATTATAATTAACCAATTATAACTAGAATTTTACTAAATTTTGAATTGCTATTTATTCATATATAGTTTTGAAAATTACATAACAGTTATAAATAGTTGATTTTACCATATTTATACTTTTATAATCTTAATACATTTTTGGTATTTTAATATTATTTACTAAGTATTAAATTTTAAATATTGAGAAAAAAATCATATTTATTAAAATGTATTAAGATTTATGTTCCTATGATATTTAAATATAGCTCTAATAATATTTTAATAAATTGAATTAATATTAAATTTGGAATTTACTTTTAAACCATCATTACAGGTAATCAATAGACCATTATCATGAACAACAGCTGGGTTTTGGAGCGTATCAACAGTTATTAGATCACCTGTTGGTGTATCATTAGACCAAATGGCTGATTTATATAACTTAACTTCAGTGTTATCTATAATAGTCCAAGCACCAGGTGAACTGTCTAATCCTCTAATGAAGTTATGAATATCTTTGCCGTTTTTGTTCCAATCTATCTAAAATAATTGATAGATACAACAGCATGTTTAACAATAAAAATGTATCATGCATACTTTTTGAAGTGACTTTTTTCTAACTGATGGTTCAAATGAAACACCTTCTGTTGATTGTGGTATAACTGGAGCAGTTCCATTAGCAACCATATCAACGGCTTCAGCCTAGGTTCATTAATGTTTATTTTTAGGAACATGATCATATTATATTTTAAGCGATATAAATGAACAAAAATAAGATTTCATAATCGCTATTTTAAGAACACAATTATTGAACAGTTGTTTTACAACAATATACATTATTACCATACTCTTGATGCCTTCTGGATATAAAAATCTATTATACACCGAATCAACAGTATCATCTGGCAAGACTGGACATGATTTTTGTGATAATATTGGACCTGTATCAAGCCCGTCATCAGCCCAAAATATAGAAAATCCAGCTTCTTTGTCTCCATTTATTAATGTCCTTTAACAAAACTCATTAGTTGATATTATGTATTGAAATTAGTAATAAATTACCAATTTATAGCGCTAACTCCTCTATGTTTAGGTAAAATTGAAGGATGATAACATATGCTTTTATGTTTTGGATGTTCAATAACTTCCATTGGAATAAATTGTGAACAGAATGGTAGTACGTTGAGTTCAGCATCAACTTGTTTGTACTGAGCTACAATTTCGGGCAAGGCTTGTTCACCTTTACGCCACGATTTGATTTTAAATACAGGAGTACTATTTTCTGATGCAATAGCAGCTAATAAAAATAAAAATAAAAGTAAGAAAACAATTTGAAAGTGTTTTTAGACAATATGAAAAATATTTATTTTTGTTTAACATACAAGTTAAAAATAATTTTAATTAATAAAAATCTTAAAAATGAAAATAATAGCTTTAGGTTAGGCAAATATTAAAATTAGCCTAATTTGTTTTTTAATACCACTCTAATGCACCTTAATTGCATTTTAGTATTTTTTTTTTTTTTTTTTTATTAGAATATAAAGACTAAAGTATTTGTCAAACACCTACCAATCATCTTTTATTTTTATATTTTATTTTAATAAATAATTTTAACTAAAAATATACTCATACAATTATTAATGATAATAATTTAATAGCATATTATAGATGTAGGTACATGCACAATATTTTATCATGAAAAATTTGTTTAGTATTCAATACTAATTAGTACTAAGTTACTGAAATTATAATTGGGAACAGTTTGATTCAAATTTAATCAAATGTTTCAACATATAATTTCATACTATTATGTATATAAAATTAATAAATTAAGATTTAATTGGACAACACTTATTCTTCAAAAAAATATAATTATTAAAAAAATTAGGAGCATTACTGTCAACAATAATTAAATAAAATTTAATAAAGTTTGATTTAATAATTAAATGATAGTGTATATGTATAATAATATTAATTACTTGAAATATTATCAAATGCAATATTTTAATCAATACTATATTGATTCACAAAATTTAATTAATCATGTGTACAAAGTTTAACTTTTAGTAATTTTTATTTTAAGAATACATTAATTATATAAATACTTTGTAGATATTAAAATTAACTAGCAAATAAAAACGGTTTACCTAATTTTTTTTTATATATTAGAGCTTCTAGATTTTATATTTTATCTAGAGTTATGATATTTTAATTTAGTTAATGATAGATGCATAAAACATAAATATTTAAAATAAAATAAAAATGTGTACCTACTTCTTAATTTTATAATAATTAATATACGCTGTATATTAAACTATGTATTAATTGGAAGAATAAAATTGTTTTATATATTATGTAATATTATATATTCTAATTTCCAAGAAATTCATTAGTAATTATACAGTTATGAGTTATTTTAGGACAAATTTATTTTCTAAGCTTTAGAAATTCTAAATGATTGATAATTTATAAATGTGAATGCAACAATATTTTCATATATTTACAAATAACCAAAGTTATTTGTAAGTGTTAAAATATGAAATTATAAATATTATTATTTTATTAAATTATCAAAGGCATAAATAATATAACTATTAAGAATGTTGTTCAATATTTTTAATTTTCAATTACAATAAACTATAATACTGTTAATAAGCACTCTTATGATAACTGATAAACTCAATTTTAAATTTATATTAAGATAATAGATGAAATATAGGTTTTAAATATAAAAATTATTAACAAAATACAAATAATGCAGAAGAAATTAACAATTGAAATTAAATTAACTAAAGTAACAAATAAATTACTTCAGGTTCCTTTATAAAGATAGACGTAATAACTAAAATGTAATAAATATTTATTATAGACCAATGAATTATTGAAATTTAAGAGTAAACATCTCTGAAGGTTATTTTTTGTATTAAGTTAATGAAAATTCATTTATATTAATGTCAACCCCCAAAGAGTTACTTTTTCTTTTTGCATTTCAGAAAGGTTAAAATAGATAAGAAAAAAAATTGCATGCAAAATTATAAGTAAAATTCATGTATTTTAATATGTTTAAGACTTTTAAAAAACAATTAATATTATGTTTTAAACTATTTTAATTTGTTAATAAATTAAAATGTGTTGGAAAATAGGAAATCATTACCCAATGGATCTTGTCTGTTGCCCTTGTCCAATATGGTGAACACACCGACCACACGGTGACCATTTTTTATAAGTAATTTATAGACTTCAGCCGCGAAAGTACTCTGGCCGATAATAGCAACATTGAGGTCCCGTTGGTTGGTCTACAACGAAAAGTGCACAGTTGTTAAAGAGGGCAAAAGTAGAACCGAAGTCCAAAATCTTTCCTTACCAAACCGAAACGGCTTGTCGGCCGATTCTTGATGAACTTTCTGAGCATAAACATTTTCAAAACACTGACGGCACTGACAGATTCAATTCCCCTCAACTAAGTCTAATTAATTCTAACGGGATGGTACCCACCAAACAATATGCCGATAGTCCTAACAAGTTAGAAATGGTTCTGGAATACGAGATTGTGTACGACGGCGTGTTGAAACCGTTGATTACGTTTCACGGCGATAAGCCGAGTTATTGATAAATAAAAAAAACACACGTGGTTATCAGTTAATCACGAAATTAGTTATTTTCGTCGCGATGGGATGGGGGTAATTTCTGAAAAATATTACTCTACGACTATTAGATACTCAGAGTGCGCGTTAGCCGCGTTTTCACAGTGTCGTGCACATTATTCTTACGGTGTACAATAATAATTGATCAAAGTACCGACGGTAGTTGATAACGTTTAAAACGTAGTGAATAATTAGTATTAAATTCGAATGATTTTTTTTAAATGTCAAGAGTGAATTATTAGTGTTGTCTGAAGGTGCTGTGGTAACCGGTCGCGATGCCGGCAGCGGGCGTGGACCGACTGGTCACAACGAGTTTGCCACAATTTCTTTTGTTGATTATGGAACCGGAAGCGGTTTTCGGGCTGGAAGACGCGGTCAGGAGCCTGCATGTCGTAGTAGTGTGTTACGATATGCAAGACTTCTATAAACGTCTTGACACTATTTCTAGACCACCCGCCGCCTCCGACAGGGTCAGCCTTGACGAGTTCATCTATTATTGCGACAGCAAGATCCGAATGGAATTCGCGGCAGGCAACGAGCCCGCAGCTGCCGGTTATCGGTGCTGCATGACGGTCAGCGACCTGATGCGGATGGACGCGTGGGCCCGGCTCTACGACCGCGTCGGCCCGTACGTGATGAAGTACCTGTTGCACAGCTGTGTGCTGTTTGTGCCTCTCAACCGGGACGTTTATTATTGCGTGCGCGGGCCATCGTCTCAGGCGGGCCATTACGAAGTGCTGCAGTCGTTCCGGGCCCGGGCGGCTGGGTTGCGGCGGAACAAACGAGCAAAACCGTCAAAAGTGACCGCAACGAGCTTCACCGTGGCCGGGTTGCTGATGGCCGCCAAGCCGATTTGCCACGGAACGGATGCGGACGCTATGATACGCGAGATTGTACTGCAAGCACGGGGTTGCGGCGACAACGAAACGCAACTAGCCGCGTTGAAGTGCAAGCTGAAAGTGATGACGGACAGGGACTCGTTGCAGGCATACAGGGACATTTATGAGGCGACCGTCGGCGACCCGGGACCGGCCGAAATCCCGTTGTGCAGAGTGAAACGATTCGCCTCCACGATAGTGCGCAAAATCGTGCCGCGGCAACTGTTCGGCGCGTCCGTCAACCGGGACCGGTACTGCGACAACTTGTGCAAAGTGCTCAACTTCGGCATGCGTCATGCGTTCACCGCGCAGCATATCGTGCACGGCATCAAGACGACGAAAGTCGGGTGGCTGAAGTCCGTGGACGCGGCTCAGCGCACCGCGATGCTGACGGGAACCCTGGTGTGGCTGACCAACTCGTTCATATTCAGCCGAATCTTCCATTTTTTCCGCGTAGTGTGGACAGACACTCCCAGTCACGGGGTCGCGTACTTCGACAAAACCCAGTGGGCGGCAATGTGCCACGCGAAGATTTCGCCGTTGCTCGGCGGCGGGGACGGTGCCGGCGGATTCTTTAAGCAGCTTGTCGACGGCGGTGATGACTCGTCGCACAGGAACTGGAACGTGTGTCCGTACGCGAAAAAACCGAATGGCGGCGTGCGACTGATATTCAAGCTGCGGCGGCGCAACGAGCCCGGCGCCAAACAGCTGATGGACCACTGTCTGACGTTCCTGCGGTGCCTGGCGCGCACATACCCGCCCGAATTCCAGTCCGTGTCCAAGCCGCAGTTCTTCCGCGGCTGGAACGCGCTTCAACGGCGGCACCGGCCAAACAATGGATACACGTCACCCGTATACTATGTGCGTACGGACTTCCGGGATGCGTTCACCAGTTTTAAGCAGGGCAAGCTGCTGGCGGTTGTCTGGCAACGTATCAGCGAACGGTTCGGCAACAGGTCGCAGGCGTTGCGCGTGCACTCAGTGGACGTGGTGAAGGTAGGCGGTGGCAGCGGCACGGTGTACTGCAAGAAACGAAAGTACTGCGACGGGCTACCTGTGCCCAATTTCCCGTCGGGCTCACTGGTGTTTTACGATGGGACGACCGCGGTTCCTCTGGACCGCATCTGGAACGTCGTGCGCAAATGTGTTCGTCGCAACGCTGTGGAATGGCGAGGCCGCCGTTGGGTTATGACCCGGGGCGTTGTGCAGGGTGACCGGCTATCCGTGGCGCTGTGCGACTTGCTGCTGGCCGACTTGCAGGCCACCCGTTTAGAACGCGCAATCAGCGACAGCGGTGCTGCTAGTCAGCTGTACCGTTTCGTAGACGATTACGTGTTCGTCTCGCATGACCGGGCCGCGGCCTCGCGATTCCTAACCGTCATGTGCGCCGGATTTGACGAGTACGGGTTGCGACTGAACCACTCTAAAACCAAGACCAACCTGAAGGAAGATGGCAGCAGCGGTGAGACGGTCAAATTCTTGGGGTTCCGGTTGAACCCGACCACGGGCGAAGTGACCAAGGACGTGAGTGTTTACCGAAACCAGCGACCGTTACACTTCTTCGATTACGAGCTGGGCCGCGGATTTCCCGGCCAGACCCTGTACGCCAAGATCATTAGGCCCAACCAACATCCCTTGCCTGTAGCCCTGGTCTGCAAGTCGTTCAACTCTGTGACCATAGTGGCCCGGAATCTGGCGTTCGTCGTGGCACTCAAGGCATTCGCTGTTGTCACTGCCATCAAGCAGTATTTCTTCCACCTGAACCCGACGTTCGTGCTCAAGACTGTGCACGCTATCGCCCGGCTCATGTACGGTAAAGTGTGCGGCCTCATCAGGCGCTCGGCTGTCACCCCTTCCCAGTGCAAGTGGATCGTATACGAGGTGTACGCCACCATGTTCCAAGTGCATTTCTCCGACAGCGATAGTCGCATCACCTACATTGCAGACCAGCTCCGCCGCTGTCAATCTGCCATCGGCCAAAAGTGCAACGATCGTATCCTAAAGATGGCCCTAAAACGTTGTGGGTTCGCCAAAATCTTTGGATAACCCTTACAGCAACCCTTACAGTTGACGCATACTTCTCCCTATTTCGCACCTCGCACACCGACAGTCAGTCTTAATTAAATTAATTAAATTAAGTCTTAATTACTTAACAGTCAGTCTTAATTAAAGTCTCTTTAAGTTAATACATTTTCATTTATGTTTTTATTTATGTTTTATGTAGCCTTTTGTTTTATACTTTTTAGTGCATTATTTAATTAGCAAGTAAAATATTTTGTTATTATATGAGTTTACATGAACCCAATTTTACCGGTTTTTTTTCTGGCGAAGTTTACAGTAAAAAAATGTACTTTTGGCGGAGTTTACATGCACCTAACCTGGTTGGGACCACCTATTCCCTATTATGTCTATATTAGTCCCCTATCTGGTTTTATTTTTCTTTACATTTTACCTTTGTAGGCATCATTGTTTTTATAATCAATTGTAATTTGTAAATACGAAAATGGATTGGTTAAGTTATTACAAATTGTTAGATTCGTAGTTTCAATGAATTATTATTATTCATTCATTCATATTTAGTCTTGCATGATGGCAATTTATATATATTATTCGTACTTTGAAAAAAATGCATGAGAACCATTTTACTATTGAATTATTTATCCATTAAATATCTAATTTATGTTACATATGACTTTATGGATCATTTTAACGAGTAAAAATTGATATTAACCATATATTATTTAAATACACTGTCAAAGTAAATAAGTAAATGTTGTATTAACAATAACTTTACGACGGTGCCAGATTTCCCAGTAAACACTAAAAGCTAGTGTTTTAGACGGAAAATAAATTTTAATATTTCATTTTTATTGTATGTAATTAAAACTAAAATAAATGCAACTAATTATAAAATGTTTTTAGACCAACGAAATTGTGGTGATATTTTTATTTTATGTTTTCCAATTTCAAAATCGTAGAGTTTTATCAAAATATATTCATTAACTGTTATGTACTATAATAATTTTTTTTAATTCTATCTATTAAAAAGCAATAAAAAAAAATATTTTTTTAACTCTTTATTACTATTACATTGGTTTACTTAGTATCTTTTTAGAAATAAAACTTAGACATAATTAAGTGATGTATACTATGGATACTAGATTCAAAATGATGAATTCATAGTGATGTATCCATTAAGATACAAAAATAAAATATAGTTTAGGGGGTAGTGTATCTTGAAATACACGAAATTGAAAACAGCTTCTTTGAGGTGATATACCTTAAAAGATACACATTTCCACTCAAAATATCTTAAAAACTATTATACATTTTTTTTAAAAAATAACTCCATGAGTTTTAATTATTAAAAATAACGATAGTTTGGAATTTTAGTGCAATATTTTTGTTTCTACCAAGTTAAGGGTTAAAAATGAACTATTTAACATTTTTATAAAAAAGTTTTTCATATGAATGTATGTTTTAACAGCTATATATTTTTATTTTCCGTTATTAAAATTGTAAGTAATAAAGGAAACAACTATAATTGTATGCTTTAATAACATTTTTTAGACTAAAAAAATATTTATATTAAAAGGCGCCAATTTGTTTAGTGCTTAAAGTGGCACAATGGTTAAATTCAGCCCTGCTATACAATGTAGAGTACTTATATACAAATTAATATATATATATATATATATATATAAAAATGGAGCCAAAAATGTATAACATTTCATCAATTGAGAACGGCTGGGCCGATTTGAATCAAATTTTTTTTAATTGTCCGTAATTGCCAGGAGAAGATTTTTACGAAAAAAAAATGTTGGAAAAGTGCTATTGTTTAATAAATCATAGTTTAATTTAATAATTTTTGACCCGGTCGATAAATGCGCAATCGAAAATGAATTATTAAACAAAAATATTAAAAAACTATTAAAAACTATTTAAAAACTATTAATTTTATTTTTAGTATTAAATGACGGGTATTGCATAAATATTAAACAAAAAGATCCTGTAACAGGTACCAAACCAAATAAGAATGTTAGTTCGAAGAATTATTATGCATATCGGTTGATGATTAGACGCGATCAGGACAAAGTTATTCTACAATGTTGTGAGTTTTGTCAACAATTCATGGTCGAAATATATGCAAAGATAGAGAGCGAACGATTTCGATACTTGCGATTCGATCAAAAAAAGCTGCGTGCAGAAGATTCTCAAAACAATTGTTAGATATTGGAGATGGGAAAGTTACTACAGATGAAACGGGATGTATACAATTACCGACCGATTTCTGCACAATCATTTATTCGCAAGATGCTCTCATTGACCAGATATTTTCCATTGTACACAGACAATACACAAATCATGAGTGGCAGGCAGAAAGAGCAATTTTAGTAGGTAGCAAAAAATGTGGACGTCGACGATTTGAATCTCAAGATAAAACATTTGTTACCAGGAAACTTGGTGTCATACAAATTTATTGATACAGTTTGTGATGCTACTGAAGCTGTAAATTATCCAACAGAGTTTTTAAACTCATTGGATTTACCAGGCATGCCATCGCATAATTTACAATTGAAGGTTTGATTTCCGGTTATTTTGCTTCGTATTTGACCCCCCACGGTTGTACAACGGCACGCGATAAGTCGTTAAAAAATTAATGAAAAATGTTATCGAAGCCATCATTTTAAATTGCAAATTCTGAGGTGAAAATATAGGGCATGTACCAGTTGCCCCCAAAAGTACATTTTTTTATACCAATTCCCTCCAATTACCTAGAGCAAAATGTACCAGTTGCCCTCAATCAAATGTACCAGTTGCCATCACATGTTAATATATACACGATTACAATATATAGCTTGTAAAATAAGGGAGGTAAATATACAAATAATAAATAAAATTATTTATAAAAATAATGTAAAATAGTATAAAATGATAAAATCAAATTTTGATATTTGCAATTATATATGATATTGTATTTTGTAATAAATAATAAATATAATATATTATACAAATAGTATGGATAAAATGAAAATTGTAATAATTGAATAATAACCTACTACTAGGTGCAAAGCCAGGATTTTACAAAAACGTAAATTTAGACGCGTCTAAGTGGATAGCCGATGTATAACGATATTAACGACAAATATATTATGCTTTATCGGAATACACTAGTTATTATCATTTATTAAATCTATCTTTATTAGTAGTTTTTTTTTTATTAGACATTATTATATGATACGATGTATACCTATATATGTCTTTAATAGGTATATTTTAATAGACGAAAAGCACTGACGTTAACACGATGGAAAATATTACGCGAGTGTATAGTGAAAAGGGCAATGTATTGTTAGTTTTAAATAATTATACTTTTTAATTTTAATTATTATTTTATTAATTTTTCATATTATTTTGTTAGTAATTATTATAAGCATATGAATATTTTATCTAATTTTTTTTTTTTTTTTTTAAAAAATTATGCCACATAATTATTATAATATTTATTATTTTATTAACTTATTCATATTATATGATGTGTACTACGATTTATTATGAATTTTTTATTTCTATCGTTATAATTTTCATTTTATCCATACTATTTGTATAATATATTATATTTATTATTTATTACAAAATACAATATCATATATAATTGCAAATATCAAAATTTGATTTTATCATTTTATACTATTTTACATTATTTTTATAAATAATTTTATTTATTATTTGTATATTTACCTCCCCTATTTTACAGGCTATATATTGTAATCGTGTATATATCAACATGTGATGGCAACTGGTACATTTGGTCGAGGGCAACTGGTATATTTTAAAAATCCCGATAACAGCCGTTGGGGGCAACTGGTCAACACCCAAAATATATTATTACTGCGAATCCC